GATGTGCTGATTGCTGGCTGTCTTCAGGGTAGTTAAAATCGCCACATAACAAGTCCCAGAGGAAGCGTTAATGAATAATAAGGAGTTTGCAGCCCTGCTCTATTTTCACAAAGGAAAAGAAGAGCAGGACTAGCTTTTGAATAGCGTAAGAGAGTCAGATAAAGCCAATCATGGAAGAAGCTTGAAAGAGTGGAAAGAATTGGAAGAGTGGAAAGAATGTTGGACCTGGTCTCAGAAGAACCAGGTCTGCCTCCCAGTGCTGCTGCTGTCCACCTCTGGGACCTTTGCCTCTCTGGGCCTCAGTTTTCTCATCTGCAACATGAAAGAGCTAACTGCATGACCTTTGCAGCTCTTCCCAGCTTTAACTGTATAATCAGTCCTATTCTCCAGTGAACACCATGGACAGTCTTTTGGCTGGAGAATGCCATCTGTAATGGCCTGTATGAGCGTTGAAGGCGTGCTTTCCAGCCATGTATCTGTCTGACGCACCAAGAAATTATTTCACTTATTTGATAATATTGAGCAATTTTAAGAAGATTCACTAATAACTGTAGCATCTAGATGTCATTTTGCTGAAACCAGCTGATGAGCATTAGTAATGGCAGAATTAATTCTCTATGCATGCAACAGATTTTAATCTAAACAAATTCCACAGTGGTCCATGTTTAACACAATAGCCTTATTTGAAGAAGTTGAAGGTCATCTCCCTCTAGACTCTAGGTCAGGTACCCCACTCCAATTAAAAATCTCCTTCTGCCATTCCAGAAAACCCTCCTCGAGGTATTTGGGAATTTCCATTGCTGTTCATAAAATAAAGGTACCTAGTAATGGAATTTGTAAGTTGGTATTGAATTTTTATTAGAGCCATCTGCTTGCCTGACTAATGATTATCATATGTGAGAAAGAATTGTCAAATTCAAGATATTTGGTGGCTGGCTCAGAGAAGGTATTTAAAGAATATCTAAACTCTTTTCACATTGAAGATGTCATTTAGTTTTTAATGTACTTTTTAAAAAACTGAAAGTGACTTGCTAGAATCGGTATTCATTTTAGAGTTTCTAATTACACTAGTTCACTACTGTTGTGTCATTGTGTGCTTTTCAACTTTAGTTAAGGTTCACTAAATGCACAGACTGGCATGACTTCAGCAGTTGGGTGCATTGTGCACCTTCGTTTTTAAAACAATGCTGAAAAGTTTTTCTGTTGAACAACTTTTAGTCTATATATGTTTGGATATGAAAATAGTTTATAGTTGAGCTATTTATTTTTATCAACAAACTGCTCAAGAGGATGGATATAAAAATGCCAACAAAATTCCCCAAAATTAAATGATGAACATGCTACATACTTGAACACGCTCTTTGGTAAAGTGGTCCCGTGAATTTAGTGTATCTGTACGTTAGCTTTTTTAACATTGAGAAAAATGACCAGATTATTTTGCAAATACGAACTTGTCTAAACACCCTTTTCAAAGCTCTGACGTGGTCCTTGGATCCTGTTAGGCAGGCTTCTTTGTGGGCGGATTAATTCAGATTCCACCTGCCAGTTCACCTATGGGTAAAGACATTGAAGCCACTCCCTCTGCCTTGAATTTTTCCTGAGGGAACTTTGACTAGAATTCTTTTGCATAGCCTGATGGACTGTTTGAGTAACAATTCAGAAGAGCTTTTCCTTTTGAACCAAGTAAAGCAGCAAGAACAAAGACAAATAATGTTGCTACAGCTACACTTCCCATCTTTTGCTTCTATGGAGATCTCAAATATTGACTTTCCCTGCTGAGTTCTACTTGCATTTCTTGCTTTTTGCAGCACGCAGCATTGATGTTGAAAGTGGCTGCTTATGGTCTCATTCTTTCACTTTTCAAGGATTTTATCACTCTTATGGAGAAGATTTTGTTGTTGTGAGAAGAATGGCACACAGCTAGTTTTTGAAAAGTGACTTTTTAATTGCTCAGGTGTATGCATTAATTGTCTAAGATTCATCCGACAGTGACAGGGAGACTTTTTGGATGCTGTCCTGGTGTTATCTTCAGAAACCGGGAGAGAAGCCCTCTTTAATCAACCACAGGTAGCCAAACTGCTCGATCAATTGAAACAGATCATCAGTGACCTTGTGTAGAATGGATTCCTATAGGACTTACTGGGCCTCAAATACCTTCAGTGGCTTGTGGTTGGAAGAGCAGGATGAAGACATGTATGAGGTTGAATCACGAGTGCCTTTACCAGATCCGTTTCCTCTCAGCGAACAGTTGGATGAAAATAATTCAGTCGTTGTTAACACTTCTATTTTTCATTTCAGTCATAAAAGAAATGGGCATATATTAAAGCTCATTTCCAAAATCTCCTTGCCTACCCCACCATACTCAGTAAGTACTAAAATTGTCCCTTTAGTTGAAAAGTAAATAAGATAAGAAAGAATATTTTACAAAGCTATGATAGACATAGGGGTGCTGGACCCACTTTTTTTGGCTTAAGATACTTTTGAGTTTGTTTTCGTTTTTCATTTAAATTATATAATTGCTATTCAGCTTTAGGTGAATTAGAATTGGTGACCTTCAGTAACCTAGTGCAGGAGTCTACTCTGAACCTGAGGAAAAATAGGCTGGTGTGACTGATGTCCAGTTGTAGTGACCTGTCAGGGACTTCCTGGAGCTGTTTACTGGGGTTGGCCTCAGTAAAAACGTGGTGGTCCTGCTAGAGGAAGAGAGGAGGGACTCGTTCTCTGTGAAATGACGACAGAAGTCAAGGGGTGTATTTTTTTTTAAATTAAGTTTTATTTAAATTTTGAACTTAATCTTCAACAGATACAAACATTTCAGTGTACCAAAAAGAATAAATGTATGAGAAACTATGAACTTATGTACAATTGTGTTTTCTTAAGAAATAAATATATCAAATTTAACTGTGTAGTAATAGAGCTGTTCCATTTGTTTATGCATCAGTTAAGCACCTTTTTGGTTCCTTCTGTGCATTTCTTTAAAATATTTTATTGAATGATATATTGAATTCAGCACCAGTCAAGGAGTAAACATACCTAGGTTATTAACCTGGGTTTTATCTCAGAGTCTATGTGGAATTTTTCTATTTTAAAAATAGAAATATACCACTGTGAGAAAATATTATTGTGATCTACTTACATGAAATGTAACGTTATTATAGGTTAAGCATTTCTCATAAGGAATACTACATATTTAGTATTTGTACCTTAAGTTTGTTATTGCTAAAACAGATATTTTGATCACCCTTTCGTGTTCTTTAGAGTGACATAAACCACATTCTTGTGAAGTTCAGGGCTTAAACTATAATGTACTTAGCTAATATTTAACCAGTGTTAACCACACAAGCCAGGTGGTTTTCAGTACTTTTATTATCCTTCCCGGAACTTTAATATTAAAGTGACAGTGAATTTTATCAGGGATATTGAAAACACTCATTTAAGGTTCAGTAGTAATTCACAAATTCACTAAGTATTTTTTTTTAAATATTTAGGTGAAAATGTTTAAGTCTTGATATTGTTATGCAAAGTGATAAGTCATTTTAACTAAATAATGTGTATCATGAGTATCATACAGTTCTCATCAACTGAAATGTTGCTTCTCTAAGAAAAGATTTTATAGCTTTATAAGACTCAAGGATGATAGTGAGAAAGCTGAAGGGCACCTTAGAGGGGACCCTGCCCAACCCCATCACTTTATATATTAGGACAGTTGAGGGCCAGAGAAGTTAAAGAAACTTTCCAAAATCACATGGGTTTTAAGTGACAGTAGGGACCTCACCTGTGACTTCTGGCTAAATAATGTTTGCACTGTAGCATGCTGCCTTCTGCACTGTTTTTTATTTTATTAAATTAAATTCTTATTACAATAAATTAGTTTGGTTATAAGTAAAACTTCATTTTAAATGGGAAAATTAATTCATTATTAGTAATTTTATAGTGCCATGTTGGACCTAATAAAGCTCACTTTTTTTTAACCAAAATCTGATTTAATTTAAAACCTAAGTGGAGTTATAACTAGAGTTATTTTAAAGCATGTGTGTGTATTTTCTTCCAAATCTTATTTCAGTAATGTGGCCTATATTGGAGAGTGAGCTATACATTCAGAGCAGTATGATAAATATCACTTAAGCAAACTTAGTAAGGATATTTTTAGGTATCAATAGGAGATTACAGTACAAAACAAAGATAAATACTATTTCCTTATACCAATCAAATATATATTCTCTTGACTTATTTTGTAAAATTGAAAACAAATAAACAAAAATCCTGTGGCTTAGCTGGTTTGAATTCTCAGGTGTTTTCTAAGCAACCACAACGTAAATTACAAACAGAAGTCACAGAAATAGGTGAAATCAATCAATGTTATTTAAATATACATAAAGAGTATTGGACTTGAAGTCAGAAGACCTGAGTTTGAACCTGAACTTAAACTTAGCTTTGTAACCATATGCAGTTGAATTGGTCTAGTGTGTTATCATTACAAGTTACAAGTATAATCCCCTCTTTGCTCCACCAGGCAAACCAATTATACAAATTGATCTCATAAAATATGGAGACAGAGCATTTATTTACTGTGTTTACTCTGTGCCAGGTGTTATGTTAAGCAAAGGGAGTACAAACACAACCAAACAAGGCCGTCCTCAAGGGCCATACTTTCTATGAGGGAAGACAGCAAATACATAAAAAGGTCCCTGTAATTTATTCTAAATCTTAATAATAATGTTCACTGAAAGTATTTACATAGAAGACTGACTTGAATAATTAATACATATTTCTTAGGCTTGTCTTTTTTATTAATACCTCCTTTTAATTTTATACCAAATTATACTGATATTCATTTCATATAAATTATCATATTAAAACAGACTAAGGCTATTCTTCACTTTATTTTTAAGCATTAATTCTAACTTTTGGCCACAATAGGATAGACATGCATTTTAATTTCCTCAATTTACTTGTTATGTGATGAATTCCTCATCAATGCAATTTTTCTCCTAATTTAGCTTGAACATGCCAAGGTTACACAGACAGAGTTGATGCATGAGTCATTCAGACAAAAACAGGAGGCCACAGAGTTTCTGAAGTGCCAAGAAGAGTTACAAGAGCGACTCAATGAAGAGTTGAAAGCCAGAGAACAGTTGGCTGTGGAGCTTAGTAAGGCAGAGGGTGAGTTCATTGGCCATATCTGTTAATGGTATGTAGATGGGGTTTCTGGTTTATTTCTCTTTAGTTTTTTAACATTGAAGGAGGAATTACTTTTGTTCACATGTAGTATGATGCAAACTCACAGATGTATATGCACACACACACACACACACACACACACACACACACACACACACACACCCCCTACCTGTAAGGTTTGCTTTGCTCACCAGTTATTATTTAGCTCACTTTCCTACATGAGTGAAAAGTAAAATGTAAATGAAATGAAATTATGAAAAAGTATAAACAATTAGATTTTATAAAATGTTGCTATAAATTCATGTGACATTTTTATTATGGTTATTACATGCTTATGATCAGAGTTGAGAAATTTTTCCTAAAACACAAAACTTTAATTTGATCTGATTCTGGTTTGCAGAGGTGTTTCCAGAAATACAAGACTTATTAATTAAATGTTTTAACTTATACTAATAAAATGTCAACATTTCATTGTATAAAACCTTTTCCCCAAACATGTTCACTGTGAGTCTAGGTATTTCAGCAAAACAGTGTTAATGAATATTAAATATCCATGTTTTATATGGTAGAAGATAGTTATAAATTTTAATTTTAATACTTATTTCAATACTTTCATTACCTATTATTTATTTATTCTGGTCCCTTGACCAGAATGTGCATCGGTGGGTGGAAGTTGCGTACATGTTCATTTTAGCTTGGTGGAAGACAGAGCTTTTTAAATGTTCTTCTCCGTTCATGGCGCCTTATTGTCCCAGTAACTTTTTTATGGCACCCCTAGGTGAAAAGAAATATCTTACAGTTCTGTTTATTAAGTAGTTAGGTCCAAACAACTTAGTAAATATTTATGTCCCAGTAACTTAGGGGCCGTTTGAAAAAAATCTTACACATAAATTGAAGAAAAGATATTTTTTATTTATCCTTAAATAACCACAATTACTAATGAGATGTGTATACCTGTTGGGCATTGAATAACTTCTCAAACCTTAGAATCAGATTGGACACTGCCATCTTCATTTCCTGTTCCACAATGATTTTCTTGAAGCACTTGCAACTTTGCAGCAATCGGACATCACAAAGGAGAAGTTACTGGCCTTGCTGAGAGTACAAGTGAACAAAATTCTGTCTCAGACATTTGAGAATGTCATGGAAAGGAGTGTAGTGTATCTAATGTGGAAACTCTGAACTACTTTGAGCTAGTAGTTTGTGTGGTGTCCAAATTTAAAGTATTCCATGGTTTCCCTGTGAAACCATGCTATGGTGCCTGGGAAGTCCACGGCACACAATTTAGGAACTACTGATTTAGAGAATAATTTAGTAACAATTAGAGCTATCCATAAGTGAAATGAGCTGCCTCAGGAAGTAATAGATTTATGTTCACTGAAAGTCTTTAAGTAAAATCTGAATGACCGCTTGTCTGATATGATCTCCTCTACGTGGAGAGAGAGGAGATCCTTTTTTAGGTGTTTTCACAATTCCAAGGAAGCTTAACCAATGTAAATCAGTTGCCACAATGAGGAATCTAAAGAGCTTAAAGCCTGCAAAGAGTTGATCTCCTTTCCACATGGAGAAATATGGTGGGCAAGACCTATACCAGTTAGGATAAACTTATTTGTAAAATTTTATGGGTCATTCCACAGTTATCTCAGAAATCATCAAAGATGAAACCAGAAGGATAATAGACAATAAGTGGAAAAGGTCTGTCAAGATATCTCTAACAAACTAATCCTTCTACTAGTGAGAGTGGAGTCACCATTTTTGGTTCCCAATGTGCCATATGAAGAATAAGTAACTGAATGAGCCCAAGTATACACAGGAAAGTCTTCAGGCTGACCCACTGTCCAATCAGGACAAACCAAATAAATGAAGTACTTTTATCCAGACTCTTGTGTGCAATTGGATGGACAGCTCAGAGAGGTAGTCCAGAAGGACATGTGGCTAGGCCATATATTGCGGTTGAACAGTAAATTGGCCCCAGAATTGAATAATGGACTGAATTTCCTTTGGGAGGTTTTGCAGGGCTTTTAATAACTCCCAATCTTCTCTTTGAAACAAAGGTCCATCTTTTCAACACATATTTTTCTGCGGATTCTATTTGGCTATGGAGTATGGAGCACCACAGGCTTCTAAGAATTAAAATTGCAGGTCACTCCAAAGGGGCAGCATCAGAGAGGCATTTGGGGTGTGAAGATTCTATCACACATCACCAGGATGGGGCACAGAAGCAAAAACTACATCCATCATTGGACAGCGATGCCCACAGTGTCCAAGGAAGGCCCCAGAATGCTAGTGGACACTCTGGGAACCATGCCCAATCCAAACCATTGGATGGAGCTCCACTTTAATATGACAGAAGCTCTACTAAAGTATTGACATTAGAAGATGAGGAAACTGTGACTCCAAGAGATTGAGTAACAGGAATAATCCAGGGCTGGACAGATGCAGTATCTGCTTGTGGCTTGTGCTCAAGCACTGACTCTCAAACCACTGCACTACCCTACCAGTATGTTTGTTATTAGAGATCAGTAGATGTGTGGAAAAGAGGCACAGAAGGACCACAGAGAGAAAGTAGTCAGTTTCCCAGGAGCATTGCACACCAAGAGAGACAGAAATTTATACAGTTCTCTCCCTCTCTGCCCCTGTTCCCTCACTCCTTCCCACACAGTACATTATGTAGTGAAGATAAATTGTTATCCCCTATTTTACAGGAGTGGAAATAATTTGCCCTTGGTCACACTGCCAATACATATTGAAACTGTAATTTGTATCCAGGTTTTTTGACTCTTAAATTCAGTATTCTTTCTATTATACTGTCGTCTTTGTCTCTGAAATTTTTTTCTGTCCAAGGAACTATGCAGATACTTTTCTATCTGATTTTCTTATTTTATAATACTTTATAATATAATGCTTATTTTATAATAATAATAATTTCATAATATTTTATAATATAATAATATAATTTATTATTTAATAATATTTTATAATTTAATAATTTATAATACAAAACAATATTATAAGCAGATCACTTTTTCATTTACTTTTTTGCACATTGAATAGTAATTCAAATAAACCCTTTGGTTGTAACTCCGTTCCCTCATATCTAATCACAGATGACAAGTCTTGTCAGATGAGCCTTCACATCCTCACATGCGTTGATTTCTCATCACTCACACAGCCATGATGTTCACCACCTGTAGCTGGATGAAGCCAGTAGCTTCCTGATTGGTTTCTCTGCCTACAGTATCTTTTCCCTTCCATTGACCTTCCATAGCTGCCAGTTATACTTCCAAAGCATAGAACTCTGCTAAAAAACAAAAAAACAAAAAACTAACTCTCTGAATCCTCTAGGATAAAATATTGATTGCTCTACTTGGTATCTAACGCTCTTTACGATCCAGCTACAGCCTACTTTTCCAGGTTTATTACATATTACTCTGCATCCCATGATCTACAGTCCAGCCAGACTGCTATCAGCGTGCTATGGTGTATATGAATATGACGGAATTTTATTGTGCAAGAAATTAATTTTATTAATTTTATTTTGAATTTTATTGTGTAAGAAATTAAACACATGAGGAATCCAGAGTAACCTGAGATGTATATGAATGAATACAGAATGAGACATGGAAAACCAGAAGGATAATATGTACACTGACCGCCACAGTGTAAACAAAAAGAATTAATTTTGCATAATTTAAAAAAAAAACTTCTGAGTAGAATGAAACATACTTCCTCCTTCTTGGTAGGGAGGCGAGGGCTGACTAAAACCTGCATTATCAGATGCGGTGACTGTTACCAGTAATTTTTGCTTAACTGTTTTTCTTTGTTATAAAAGAGTGTTCAGTTCCATGAGGTTGGGAAGTTTAGAAGGGAATGATATTTCTAAAAGCAATTGCATGCTTGTGGCATAGAAACAAAAGACACTAAGAAAACTTATTTTAAAAAAAAAAAAAACCCTGGTTAAATGAACAAATGAATGAATGACTTGGAGTCAGGACTTCAGTTCAAGCCCCAGCTGCATGACAGTTTCCTCATCTATAAATTGTAGCTGATAATCACAAGTTGATACTGAATTGCAAATCCCAGATTTCAGACTGGTCCAAATCCTTCATTTTCCAGATGAGGAAACTGAGATCCAGAAAGGTCAGGGACATGGCCTCCATCACATCAGGAGAAAGGGACAGAGATGTGATTTGGGTCCACATCCTCTAGCTACAAACCCAGCCCTTTTCATTAGGTTATCAAAGTCTTCAAAAAAAAAATGTGATGATATTGATACTAATTGTACACATTTTTCTTCTGTTTCTGTTTATTTCACTCTGCATCTCTTCATTTAGGTTTCTCCATTTTTTTTTAAATCTTCTACTTCCTTATTTCTTATATTACAATAGTATTTCATCACAATCACATACCACACCTTATTCAGCCAGTCATCATTATGTAACATCCTCTTAGTTTCCAGGTTTTTGTCACCACAAAAAGAGCTGCTGTAAATATTTTGTGCGTGTGTGTGCGTGCGTGTGTGTGTGTGTGTGTGTGTGTGTATGTGTGTGTGTATCTATTTGCCTTTTCCTTCTTTGCTCTCTTTTGGGTGTAGATACCTAGCAGTAGTATAGCTGGGTCAAAGGGTATGCATACTTCATAAACTGATGAAGAATGAAATGAGCAAAACCAAAAGAACAATTTATACAATAACAATAGTAGAAAAACAAACACGTTTGAAAGCACTGAAAATTACAATAAGTTCAATGGCTATTCATGATTCCAGAGGACCAGTGATGAAACACGCTATCCACCTCAAAGAGGCGATAGAGTTAAGGTACATAATGAGACATATAAACACACACATATCTATACATATACAGAATATATATTTGTATTTATATTTAAATATAGCCCAGGAGGGAATTTGTTCTGCATGTCTGTGCACATTTGTTACGAGATATGTTTTTCTTCTTTTTTTTCCCCCATTGGGATTCAAGATGGAAGGAGAGAAAGTAGACTTCTGTTAATTTTTAAAAGTAAAGAAGTGGGGCAGGTGCTATAGATGTGGAATGTGGCATGCGATGCACTTTTAGATGACATCATTCTATTATTAGCTTTACTTCATTGTTTCACTCTGTTAAACAGACCACTTGTGGAGTGAGGGTGATCTATAATTATTTGTAATATAAACACAAGACACATCCATAAAACTTTTTTAAAAATCCAGTATACTTTCCATTGCACCACACCCCCTCCTCCTCGTTCTACCTGGGAATATAGTTGTTCTAAGTCACAAAAAAGCAATGTGTAAAGTGTGATAAATGCAAACTGTTATTATGAGGGACATTTGTAAGTTAGAATAGTATTTAAGCAACAAGAAAAAAACAAAACAGCACTTTAATTACCATGTCAAAACATAAGCTTTTGATATTCTTAATAAGTAATTCCGTATTGTTTGAAATGGTATGTAGACAAGTTTTAAATTGTCATGATATTGCATCTGTTCTTCTTTTGAAAATCCAGTGATAAAACCACAGACTAAAACAAGCCTGTTCTGATCATTTTGTTTCCCAGGTATCATTGATGGCTATGCAGATGAAAAAGCTCTTTTTGAAAGGCAAATTCAGGAAAAAAGTGACATAATTGACCACCTTGAGCAGGAATTGTTATGTATAGGTAACAGATTACAGGAATTGGAAGCAGAAAGACAACAAATTCAGGAAGAAAGAGAATTACTCTCTAGACAGAAAGATGCCATGAAAGCAGAAGCAGGACCAGTTGAACAACGTATGTATTATTTGACTATCTTCCTATGAGATGTTGTGATATTTCTGTGTACATTCATTTTGAGTTGAGTGGCTTCAGTTTTCCCTGTGGTGTCTTTGGCACATAATATTAGTACTTAAAAATTTGCTTTAAAGATGTTGGAGCATATAATTGTATTATTAGCCAGTAATTGGGATATAGTTATTTTTTTTCTCAGGTATCATTAGAAAAGAACACTTCCTCCCTCAACTTTATGCTCTAATCTCAAGTGGAAGTTGCTGATAATGCAGAATATGAAAGAACTTGTGAAAGGTATATACTCTAATGGCAGAGAATGAAAAAAAAAATTTAGGTGGTTGATGAATGGTCCTGATGACAAATGGTGAGCAGTTTGGAGGGGTGAGAGAGTTGATTTTAGAGTAGAGCAGAGGAAGAAAGTTAATAGCTGTTAAAAGCAGGCTGCCACCTAGTTTAATAATAATTACTTTTATACAGTAAATATTTCTTTTAATCTTTCAGGTAATTAACATCTTAAAGTTAGAGTTTAGGAGTAAGGGGGAAAAACTAATTATTTAGAAAATGCAGGTTTTTGTGAGTATGGCATTTGAATTGTTTGGCATTGAATTCCCATTTTTGTTCTCTTTCAAGCCATGTCCATTTTATATTACAGATTACAATCAGAATTACGAATTTTGTAGCCTCACAAACTTCCATAGCAATGTTAAATAATACTAAAATTTCTGACTTGCAGTGAAGAACTATTTGTGGTGTTCTGGTTGACGTATTGAAATTACTTAATGTAGTGAATTATTAATTATTGTATTGAAATTATTATTAATTAATTGTATTGATGTATTGAAATTAATGTATTGAATTAATGTTTTGAATTATTATTGAAATTAATGTATTGAAATTAATGTATTAAAAAATTTCAGGTGTAAATGTTGGAATTTTTCACATCTGAAGAACAAGTCTGATTCCTTTTATCTAGTATGTGCTTAATGTCGAGTGAATTAATGAGAAATATTTAGAATTTCCAAGAAAAGTAGCTAATGTCAATGAACTTCAGTCTTGTCTTTTGCTTCATTTTCTCTTTTTATATTATCCCACCTGAAGAATAGATATGGCATGTAAATTACTGTGCTTTTGTTTCCTTTTTCTTTTCTCTTAGGGCTAGTAGATGCTGCAGTCGATGCAGCACCCGGAGCAGGTGTGTTTGTATACTGCATGGCCAGTCTTTAATTGGGTGATAGACTTACTTCCTAAAATTAAGTAAATAATGATTCTTGGACTTCTCACTAACTATTTCTCTAACTCTGAAACTTTGCTGTTGTATTTTACACTTACAGCCTTTTCCTTTAACAAAAATTTTTCTTGCAATTAAAGAGCATATTCCTTTGTTTGAAATTAACGAAAGAGATTCACATTCACCATCATCTTATTGTATTCATTTTTAAACAGTTAATTAAGACTACTTTAGTTTCTTAAAACCTAGTGCCTCTTAACTTGCAAATGCAATTAATACAAACAATTAATTACTTTGCCAAGTGCTGTTAACATTGATTCATACTAATTGTCTAAATCAAGAATTGGTTAAGTAGTATATAAGATGATGGCCTCAAAAGAATCTTTGATGTGTAGTGAACAAAAGTTTTCTGGTTGCTTTATATTTATATTCGTTGTTAACATCAATAGTGTTTGCAAAAGTAAAAGAGGTGGTAATTGTCTGCAGCGTCATGGTCCTGACCATATTGTTATCATGGATATCAGTCAATGATCTGGACCCTGGGCACCAGCATGACTTACATCTTTTCTCAGTAGAGGAGCTTTACATTTGATACATACTTGCCAGTCCTCCCTTACTGTATGTGAAAGTATAGGATGCAAGAGCAATTCAGGAATGGGCTATATGAAAAAGGACAAAATAGGAAAACTCATTATAATTGAATCATTGCTCTTTCTATAATTATCAGTGATCCTGTGTAAAGGTTTATGGTACTGGTTCTTCAAATGCGGGACATGCATGTATATAAAAAATATGTTTTTGGATTGAGAACACATTAGCTGCTTTGTGTGAATTAAGTGATGATTTTTGCATTAATTAAATCTTGTCCTTTCCTTGTAGTAAAAACATGTAACTTTGACTTTCTTTGCTTTTTTTTTCACAAGAATCATAATTTAGTGATAGTACTCTCATTTTTAAATGCTTATAATGATGATCTATGGTGGCATGATACATGGTATGTTTAGATATTCTGAGTATTTTAAAGAGAGAAAAAGAAAGCATAGCTCATTGCCTCTTTTGTGTGTTTGAATTAAAATCCAGATTTTCTGTTTCATGTGGTTTAATCCTGTACATAGAATTGTGGAATGCTTTATCATTAACTTGGTAACAAAACCTGCAGTGCTTCTTCATTTGTTAACAGAATTACTGCAAGAAACAGAAAAGCTAATGAAGGAAAAACTAGAAGTGCAATGTCAAGCTGAAAAGGTCTGTGATGACCTTCAGAAACAAGTGAAAGCTCTGGAAATGGACATCGAGGAACAGGTCAGCCGCTTTATGGAACTAGAACAAGAAAAGAATGCTGAGGTGATGGATCTGAGACAGCAGAACCAGGCCCTGGAGAAACAGCTGGAGAAAATGAGAAAATTTTTAGATGTAAGTATAGATAAAAATGCAGATGAATCTGATTTTGAAGATCTGGAGGGTCAGTGTTTCTTAGCAGGATCATAGAAGTAGAGATAGAAAGAATGTAAAATAGCATCATTAATAGACCAGTCTTTCATTTTACAAATGAGAAAAATAAAGCCCAGGCACGTGTAATGACTTTTCCAAGATTCCCCAGAGCTGTGAACCCCAGGCTTCTAACTCCAAATCCAGCACTCTTTCCACTGCAGCCAGTAGAGTGACAGTTACAACCTTCCAGGTTTGCAACTTTTACATCATGACAACTCATTCATACATGTTTAAAGATAGCCGCTCTTAAAATCTCAAATTAGAGAGGTGTTTTCCATATCGATTCAGAAGTGATGGTGGTTCTTGGCATTGACAGCAGGGCAACACGGTTGGTGCCAGCAGTCTGAACAGAGAGAAGCCCAGCACACAGGCACTGGCAAATAAATAATGACTCTTCTTCCAGGGTAGAGGTGGGAGGAGCCCTTCTGCCTCCCATCCATCATGGTCTTCAGTTGCCAGTGACCCACACCAGCATTTCCTTATGTCACTGGGAGGTTTTCATTTAAAATATACTAGTCAGGTGTGTAGGGGTTGTGCTTTTTTACTTTGGGAGAATCCTTTAGATGCTTGCACAACAAGGTACATACCTCGGAAAATAAAAATACATATCCATGTACTACACAGGTTTTAATTTTTTTGTTTTTTTCTTGAAGGATGAGGGGAGGAAGAGATATTGAGGGCTGTCCTGAAGGTTTCAGAATTCTGCTCTAGTCTATACGCCAAACACTGAAATAGTTTAGAATTGGTATATTACTAGATTAGGAATGTTCATTAATTCAATATGCCTTTATAAATGAATTTTTATTACCTTGTAGACAAGTGATCCTAAATTATGCTGCTCTTATGCAGAAAAATAAATTTTAGAGTATAGTTAGCAAGTTTTTTCACATTTTACATTCTATATGGAAGCAGCTGGTGGCACAGTGGAGAGAATGCTGGGCCTGGATCCAGGAACACCTTTGTTCAAATATGACCTCTGATACTTATTAGCTGTGTTACCCTGGGCAAGTCACTTAACATCTGTTTGCCTCAGTTTCCTCATTTGTAAAAGGGGGATAATAGTAGCACCTACCTTCCAGGGTTGTTGTAAGTATCAAATGAGATAATAATTGTAAAGCACTTAGCACAGTGGATAGAGTGCCCAGCCTGGAGTCGGGAGGACCTGAGTTCAAATCTGGCCTCAAACACTTCCTAGCTGTGTGATCCTGGGCAAGTCACTTAAGGATCAAATGAGATAATAATTGTAAAGCACTTACTACGGTGCCTAACATAGTGAGCACTCTATAAACATTAGCTGTTATTATTATAATGTGCTTATTTCCTTTCTCCCTATATTTCACATCAGTTGAATTAAATTGATTCATTATACTTTTGATAATAACTGAAATTCTAAGTCAAATACAGAAGTCAGTCTCTACAGATCTTCATTGCTTTGAGTGCGCCATTGTAAGAGCTGTAGAGCTAGAGAAGTCTCCATGCTGTCATCTCTTCTAGCTCCTCGCCTTCAAGCAGGACTAGACTGTTTAAAATCATGTTACATTAAGGGGAAAATAACACCTAAATGACTGTTTTGTCTTTTAATCTTCTTATGTTCAAATTTTAGGAACAAGCAATTGATCGAGAACATGAAAGAGATGTGTTCCAACAAGAAATCCAGAAACTAGAACAGCAGCTGAAGGCCACCCCAAAGTTTCAGCCCATCAGTGAGCATCAGACGAGAGAGGTAAGGCTCTGGACCGTTGGCTGCATCAAACGGCTGTACTTGGAAAGCCTGTAAGAGGCACCTGAAATCAAGTAGACTTAAAACATTTATCCTAATAAATAATTCTTCAGAACAAGAAAGTAGAACAGGAGAATTGATATTGTTTTGCTGTAAAAAGTTCTCTCCAAATGTTCTTAATGCTCTTATTGAAATTTGGACTGCCCTTCTTATTTGCTCTTTGAATCACTTTAGGGGGATAGGGAGAGCTGTAGTAACCTCATGCTGCCCAAGGTTTTATTTAACATCTTTTCTTAATCTTTCTAGTTGCTTTATCTTTTCAATTTGTGCTTTGATTTTTCCATTTTTAATAAATATTAGGCCACAAACACAGAGAGATAGCTCCTCACTATATTTCTGATCAAATTTGTTTTCAGTGGTAAAAATGAAATCCCAAATATACATACCTCTGTGTTCCACTTTTCTTGAATTATACACTTTCATTTTTTTCAAAGTATGTGCAAATAAGGAGACCATTTCTTTGACTGAACCTGTGGTTTCATAGAGAATTCCCAATGGGGGAATTCTTTCCCAATGTGCATCAGCAATTCATCTGAAACTTTTCGACGTGGAGAGTTAGCTGCCTGGGCCACTAAGATGTTGAGTGACTCAGCCCTGTATGTCAGAGACAGGCCTTTCTATAGGCAGACTGATTACTCACTGGATCACAGAATCTCAAGAGTTGAAAGGAACCCAAGAGGCCATCTAGTCTAACTCATGTACCAAAAAGTTCTTCTACAGCCCTGCTGACAATTGGTCACACATCCTCTGCTTATTCATTCCTGCCCAAATGGCCTCATCCCCCTTTGGAATAGCTCTCACCGTTAGAACGCTTTTCCTTCCATTGAACCTCCATCTCCTCTCTGCTGTTTCTACTGCCTGCTCCAGTCCTGTGCTCAGGAGCCAAACAGACAGATCTCATCCCTCTTCCTTATGACAGCCTTTCAGACTCTTGACTCCAGGGAGCCTGGTGGAGTGGAAGGAGCAATGGACTTGAACTGTAGAGGGCCACTCCCTTCACTGTCTAACCAGGGACGAGTCACGTAAACACTCGGGTCCCCTGCTTCCTTATCTAGGCAATGGCAGCCCAGATTTCCCTGGCTTCATTCCACTGTGCTACCCTGCCTCTTGCAGCTCCCACAGGGTTGGAGAATATTAGCATGAATGATAGGACCTTATGCTGTAGGAGTGTCTCGGCATTGTTTTGTTTTTGTGTCTACATTGCCTGGTCAAGTGCCTGGCACAAAGGTATATGATAAATGCTTGTTGATTGATTGGGTAGAGCAAAGTACGAAGAGACTGTGATGAAGGCCTCCTGAGTGCTCAGCACTTTGTTAGGCAATATGAGAGAGAAAATATAATTAAGTCGCATTATAGTGTGGAAGGAAAGAAAAATATGCGTTAAACAGGATTGTACAACACAAAATAATATATAATTAAGTGCTGAATCATGTGGAAAGACTATGCCATAGGCATTCAGTCAGGAAAGAGTTCATGAGAAGGCAAGACTTGGCTTCATGGAGGAAGGTAGGATTGACTGGGTCTGAAGGATTAAAAGGATAGAAATGGACCAGGAAGAAGAAAGAAGACATTTCATGCAAGGGGAACAACATGAATCCAAGCACCCAGGAAGAAATGACCTGGCATGTCTGTGGGGCAGTGACCATTTATAATGAGAAAAATATTTTTGGATTTAATTAAAAATTAATAACTGCATATATTTTTCTTTCTGACTCTCAAAGGAGATATGATTCATATAGGAACGTGAGTCCTTGACTAAAGGATCACAGAACAGTGGCGATGTTCACTAATGCAACAAAACCAGTTGCATAGTTCATAAGTCACATTTCTAACACACAAGTACCGATGACCTGTAGCTGACTAATTTTGTTTAGTATCTTCAGTTTTAGGAAATAAACTTTCTCTTCTTCCTCTCACTCTTGCAATTAAGGACCTCCACAATCTAAATTCTTATCTTTCCAGACTTGTCTACTACTGCTGCCTTTTAGGCCTGCACTTCAGCCAAACAACTCCCACTTCATCCTAAAAACCCCACGTACTGTCCTGCCTTTGTGCCTTTTCCCTCTCACTAGAATGCTACATTTTCCTCTTTCCCATCTTGTTCCCCTTCCAGCTTTGAAGATCCTGCCCATCTTCTTAAGGTCTTACTCAAGTACTACCATGTCCATAAAGCTTTCTTAAATCACTCCACCTTGAAATTATCTCTGTGTCCTTTAGCACCTTCTTTGTACCTTTCCTGTAGGAACACTTTACTGCCTTGTATTTTAGTTGTATATATGTACATATCTTTTCTACCAGATGATAAGATTTTTTCCTAACAAGGGTTGTGTCTTGTACATTTTTTAATTCCCCACATGTTTACAATAGTTTATATTTATGTGAAAGATATGTATCCCAGCCATGTTATAATAGATGCCATGTTAGTAATAGATATTCAATAAATAATCCCTCATAAATGATTATTCATCCTCAGAGGTAGAGCTCCTGAGTTAAAGTCATATTGCCCTTCCTCCTTGGATCATCTTGTTTCATTTGCATTTCTGCTCTTTGGGTAGTTTTCAATCCTCAGTATTGAGGATTGAGGATTAATCCAAAACTGAATTAACATATAATTCTTCAGTTAGTATCTCCTTACCTTACTTTTATTATCATGCACAGAAACACACTAACTAAGAGCTAGAAAGGAAGCCGGTTCAACCTGTGGCTAATCAGGAATCCCTTCTACAATGTCCCTAAAAAATAATGATCCCATCTTTACTCCACAGTCTGTATGCAGTCATGTCTGGCTCCACTGTGTCCTGAGGAGACATTTATTTCACTTTAGACAGCTACAGTTGTTAAGAAGTTTTTCTTTAATCAGTCCAAAGCTTGCCTCTGTGGACTTCCACCATTGCTCTTGGTTCTGCTCCCTGAGGTCTAATTTGGGATCAGAATAAGTCTAACTTTCTTTCACATGATAGCTTTTCAAATACTTGATGAGAGCTGTATCATCCCATACCCCAGACCCCAAGTCCTCTTTTGTCCTGGCCAAACACCTCCAGTTTCTTCAACAGATGCACACATGACTTAGTATTTAATTTTCTTACCATTCTGGTTGCGTTCTTCTGGATAAGCCCCAGCTTGTCAATGACTTGTATCACCCAATACTACATACAGTGCTCCAGATGTGTTCTGACCAGGGCAGACGGGGTCAGGGGCATGAAGCCTCTCGTCGTAGAGCCTAAGATTATGTTAGTTTGGGGGGCTGCCATGAGATATTTTTTAACACCTACTGAACTTGTGATCTACTAAAACCCTGAAATATTTTTGATACAAACTCTTCTGTAGGCAATTCTTCAATTAGCCTGTATTTATGAAGTGGATTTTTTTTTTTAACCAAGATGTGGAACTTTACATATATCTCTATAAAATGTCATTGGCTTAGCTTGTCAGTATCTTTCATGATCCTGACTTTCATCCATTAGGTTAGCTGTAACTTGTAGATTCATGTCACATACAGATATTGTAAGGATGCCATTATACAAGTAATTACATATCTTTGTGGCACTCCATAAAAATCTATATCCAAGTTCATATTGAAATATTAATGGCTCTGGTCATTAAACTAGTTCTAAATCTATCTAATTCTGCAGTTCTCTAGCCTGTGTTACTCCATCTTTCCTCCAAGAATAGCATGAAAGACATAAACAAGCCTTGCTGAAATCTAAGAATAGTATGTCTACAGCATTGTACTGATCAATCATCATGTAGTGACTCTGTCAGAAAGAAAAAATAAAATGTCTGGTTTTGACCAAAGGATGCTAGTTCTTAGCAGTCTCCATTTTCTGTTTGAATTGGTCATGAGAAAGCCATATAATGATTTCCAGGTCACATGACCAACAAGACATGGAGAACTAAACATTTTCTCCAATCCTCATGACCTCTCAAGTCTGTCCAGAATATAAATTATGTGCCAGAGATAAAGCAAGTCCAGGCCTCTCCACCATCTAGGATACCAAGAACCCAAATGAGGCAAAAAACAAAAACAACCAAAAAAAAACTTGATTAACAACAAAGAAGGCTAATTTTCATCAACCCCTTAACCACACTCACTTGGCACCCCCTTGTACACCTCCCACCATGCTCTCAACAGCAAATTTGTACAAGCTGACCCACAGGCTTACAACAGAATTCACCTTCATATCTCAATCCTATCCACCCCCTCCTCCCAGGACCTTGGTGACCCAAACTCCAAGCAGTAGAAATTTGCTCAGGTGGTGATAGCAGCGTAGCCATACCCTACACCCTTGACAGAGAATTGAGGAGCAGAAGAGAGGGGTAGGACTCCTGGGGGCGAGGAGGACAGTGTGGCATTTCACTGAGTCTGAGGGGAAGAGTCCAGCATCCAACTGGGACCAGTTCTCTCTGTCCAAAAGTAACACAGGGCAGACAGCTAGGCTGGTAAACTGTGAATTGCCCAGCATGAGAGGAGGCTGAGATGATTTGAGATCCAGGGCCCAGAGAAACTACCATCACAGGGGACAGAGTCAGAAAGTGAGGAAAATAAAGGGAAAAGTCTAAAATGACCAAGATCTGGGGAGGAAGAAAACTCAGAGACCTTAAACATAAACCGATAAACCAACAAAAAGGATATTAACAGCAAAAGGAAATACGCCTCCAGAGCTAGTAAAAGAGTTCTGGCATCTATGAACAAATACCATAAAACAAGGAAAACGATTCAACATTTGATGAGGCAGAGAGCCCTGTGGATTCTTGAGGAGCATGGAACTACAGCAGTGCTGTTCCTGGTTGGTTTAAAAGAGAAATAAAAATTGTGAGAGCAGAATACAAATTCGTAAAGGAAGCATTAACTGAGCTACGAGAATATATAGACAATAATTCAGTAGTGAAAGGAGAGTCCAGAGTGGTAAAAAATAAATAAATAAGAGTTGGAGCAGAACAGTAGTCCTCCTGGGATAACTGAGAGAAGACTGGAAAGGAAGAAAAATTCCAGGACTGAGGTTTGGTCCCTGTGAAGTGTAGACACCTCCAGGCGAGTTCCCCTGAAACTGCAAGCTGTGAGAGCTAGGGCTAGCTGGGTTGGGAGATAGCTTCTACTCCATTCACAAGAATTTTCACCTCCCAGACAGTCTGGGGAGTTGGGATTCTGAACAGGGGAAGATTGAGGGAACCTCTGCTGATAAGGGACACTAGGCCCAACTGTGCTGCCTAGAGGCGGCCCTGGGCAAGAAGGAACCAGCATACGTGGGGTGAATGCAGAAGCAGTGGGGCGGGGAAGCCACTGGCTGTGGACAGCTACAGAAGGATGGAGTTCTTGGTTTCAGTTCCAGGCCAGAGGGGAGAACTGAAGGAGGACCTGAGGCCAGAGGTATCATCCCCCATGCCCCAGGGCTAGAGATGACTACAAGTTGTCATAAACAAAAATTATTTTTAAAAATGAGGCGGCAAAGGAGAAAGAGCCCAACCATAGAAAGTTACTATGGGAATAGAGAAGACCAAAGTTTGTCTGCAGAGGAGGATATTAAAGCAAAAAAAGCCTCTCCTCCCCTAAAGAGTAATGTCAAATGGTCACCTGCCCAAAAAGAATTCATAGAAGAACTTAAAAAAGACTTTAAAAATCAAATGAGATGGAACCCTACTCTCATCTCAAAAAGTAATTTTTAAAAAAAAGAAAGAGGGGCAGCTAGGTGGTGCCGTGGATAGAGCACCGGCCCTGAAGTCAGGAGGACCTGAGTTCAAATGCGACCTCAGACCAAATACTTGACACTAGCTGTGTGACCCTGGGCAAGTTACTTAACCCCAATTGCCAAAAAAAAAAAAAAAAGTGATGTAAAAAAATAAAAAACAATACAAGAAAAAGAAGATTATGAAAATAAAGTTAACCAACTAGAAAAGGAGATCCAGAATCTTAAGAAAGAAAATGACTCTTTGAAAATTAGAATTGGGCAAAGGGAAGCCAGCAATATAAGAGACCAAGAAATGATAAAGCAAAATATAAAGAATGAAAAAATAGAAGATAATGTGAAATATCTCATAAGAAAAACAACCGATCTGGAGAACAGATCAAGAAGAGAAAACATAAGAATAATCGGACTACCTGAAAGCTACAAGAAACAAGAAAAAAACAATTCAAATATGGTAGAGCCACAATTAGAATCACAAGACCTACCAGCAGCTATACTAAAATATCACAGATCTTGGGACACTTTATATCAAAGAGCAAAAGAACTGGGGTTGTGGCCAAAAATATAATACCCAGCAAAGTTAAACATAATCCTGGGGGAAGGGAAGAAGACATTCAGTGAATTGCCAGACTTTAAGGATTTTATTGCAAAAAGACCTGAACTTAATAGAAAGTTTGATATACAAGACCCAAGAGAAATATAAGGTAAACATCAAAATCTAATTACAAGGGACTTAATAAGAGCAGGCCACTTACTTTTTATGTGAGGAAATGTAAACTGTATGTCTGAGATTGTAATTAGTAATTGGTTAGTTCAAAAGAAGGATTAGGGTAGAGCTGAGTATGGTATGATTCTAAAAAGTAATACCATCTAGGAAAAGGTAAAAAGAGTAAATATCTCAGACAAATGAGGTGCCAGAGGAAGAATTGATACAGAGGAATTAGATGGGGAAGGAGGGCTGGTAGTTCTGGAACCCTACTCTCATTAGGAATAATGGGTTAAAGAGGGATACATATGAATACATATAAAATTCAGAAAGAAAGTAGGCAAAGGGATTAGGGAGCGGGGAGAGGATAAGTGAGGAATTTTTAAAGGGATTTTTAGATCACTTCTGGATTAAAGAGAGAACTATATATACACTTAAAAGGGAATAAAAGTCTTCTAAATTTATAAAGAAATAAGATGGTGAGGGAATAAGATCAGGGGAGGAGTATAGAAGGTGTGTAGATTAACAGGAATGGGATAAAGAGGGAATAATATAAATTTGGAAGCTATAAAAGTCTTCTAAATTCAGATAGAAACAAGAGGGCAAGGAAAAGACTAGGGGGCAGAGGATAAGGGACGGATCTTGGCGGGGGGGGTAAGTCGAGTAACAGGAGGACTAAGTAGGGGTAGAAGTAAAGTAGAGGAGTCTGGAGTGATAGGAAATAAGAGATATACACAAACATAAAACAAAGATCAGGAATAAAGATCTCAGACAAAGTTAAAGCTAAAGTAGATTTAATCAAAAGAGAAAAATAGTGATAGTATACTATATGTCAGCCATATTAATCAATATTTTTAGACTAAAATAATTGGACAGTCTACGGTTAGAATATTGCTGTGGTGTAAGAAATGATAAGCTGGTGGACTTAGAAAAATATGGAAAGATTTGGACCTATCAAGGAAAACGTTAAACACCCTCAGAGAAACAGAGAACAAACAAGTATAGTATGGTCTTACGTAGATGCATATGAATGTGTACATCCATATATGAGTATGATTATAGATATCTTAGTATATATATATATATGTGTGTGTATGTATGTGTATCAGTCTATAAGTGTGTGTCTGTGTGTGTCTGTGCTTAATTGTACCCTTCTTGGGAGAGGGGGAGAGGAAGGGGGAAAAAAGAACAAAGTAAAAAGTGCACAGCAGAGAACAAAAGAAAACTTACAAGGATGCAAAGAAAAGATGGACAGCTCTGAACACAATGTATGGTATTTATTATATAGGCTTTCTTGAAATGGAAATCTATTGCTGTATATTTTTAATCCTCTCTTACATTCTGCTATGCACATGGCAATGCTTTTTTCTTTTCTTATTTTGTATTTAAGTTTATAATATATTTCTTTTTCCTTTTTTTATTGTGTATTTGTTTCAGTATTTAAATTTAAAATAAATTAATTTTTTTTTAAAAAAGAAGAGTCCAATGTCCCTCTTCTCAGTTTTGCATATATTTGACAAAAAGATAAAAGGAGAAAGATGGAACTAAACAAATTTCTGGAGAAAATAGAACTAAAAATACTTATGATATCTTTTAAATAGGACTGTAGAAGAATATGTTTATTTCTCAGTGCCATATGGAACTTTTACAAAAATTGACCATGTATTAGGGCACAGAGACATTGCAGACAGATGTAAAATGGTAGACATAGTAAATTCATTCTTTACCTACCAAAATCCAATAAAAATAGTAATCAGTTCAGGAAACACAAACAAAAGATGGACTCAAATTGAGACTTAACAATAAAATTTTAAATAATGAACATGAATTAAATAGTGAAATGAATTAAAGAATAAATCATAGAAACAACTAATAATTATGTAGGGGGGAAATCAGTGAAACAACACACCAGAATTTCTGGGATGCAGCTAAAGCAGTCCTCAGCAGAAAAATTATATCTCTACAATCATACATTAACAAAATATGAAAGATAGGATTAATGAACTGAATATTACGCAAACCTGAAAAAAAAAGCACAAATGAGGAAGTATGAAAAATTAGGGGAGAAATAGATATTGGAAACTAAAAGAAACATAGAAATTATAATTAAAACTAAAAGCTAGTTCCTTGAAAAAGCAAATCGAATTGACAGACTCTTATCCAATCTGGTCAAAAAGAAGAGAGCAGAAAATCAAATCAATAAAATAGCAAATCAGCACGGTGAAATCACAACAAAACCAGAAAAAAATAAAAAGAATTATCAGAACCTGTTATGCACAATTTTATGCTAACAAAAAATGTAAATACAACAGAATAGAGGAACACCTATAAAAATATGAACTACCCAAGCTGTCAGAAGACCTGATAGAAATCTTAAATAATCCAATCTCAGAAAAGGAAATAGAACCAGCTGTGAAGGAACTACCAAAGAGGAAAAAAACAACCCTCCTTGTCCGATGTATTCACAGGAGAATTCCTTCAAACCTTTAAAAGACAATTAATATCGTATTACACAAACTATTCTCAAAAACTGATGGGGAAAAAAAGACCTTGCCATAATCTTTTTATGCAACAAATATTGTCCTAATAAACTGGGGAAGGATAAAACACAGCCTAATGGGTGAGGCAGTATGCAGATAATTACATAAAACCAAGATATATACAGGATGAATTGGAGGTGATCAGCAGAGGGAAGGCACCAGCAATAAGAAGAATCAGGAAAGGTGGGACTTTAGCTGAGACTTACAACCAGTAGTACTTACACCATCAAGCCCTTTAATCTAGATTTCCTCAGAGGCATAGTTTCTCACAACTGAGTTATAAATACTTAAATTTGAAAGATACTTAATAAAAAGCAAATATTAAAATACATCAAAAATAAATAGAAATTAAAATACATAACACAAGTAAGGCAATCCGATGTTTCTGTTTTTCTCTTGCTGATTAAATTTTTATCAGCTCAGGAAACCTGTTAACAACTGGGAACAATAGCTGCTTACCCTACTTCCCAAAACGTTACAAAATATCGTATGATCATATTTTACTAAGCATTTTTGTAATAGGAATAGATTGGTTTCTAATATTATTATTATTATACCAAAATAAAGAAATCTAAATTTATCTTGTGTATTATCTTGCTAGGTTGAACAGTTAACAAATCATCTCAAAGAAAAAACAGACAAATGCAGTGAGCTGTTGCTATCTAAAGAGCAACTCCAGAGGGATGTGCAAGAACGGAATGAAGAAATTGAGAAACTGGAATCCCGAATAAGGGAACTGGAGCAAGCGTTACTCATTAGTGCGGACACTTTACAAAAGGTAAGCTTTGTTTTATGAAGGTTAATTTGACAAATGATGCATTAACTGTCAGTTACCCCATTTCTATTAAAGTTACTTGATAGGTGTATATTCCAACTACTCAGAATGGGTGCCCTTTGAATGAGTAATGTCTGAATAAGTTGTGGTAAATGAAGTGATGTTTTAATAAATGACAAATGAAAACTATAGATAAATTTGAAAACATGAGAACATACGTCCAGAGTAAAGAAAGCAGAACCAGGAGAACAATATAAGCAATGACTACAGTAATTTAAATGAAAAGGGTACTAAAAAATACATCCTAACTCAGATTAAGCACAATAACTAGTCTTATTCCCAGATGATAAAACACATCTCCCGCCTTTCAGTAGGAAGATGGACTGACTAGACATGTGGAATGTTACAGGAGCTATCAGAAGTGGTCAGTTTTTATTGGTTAGTTTCACTTTTCTGTTTTCCTTTGTTAAAGGAACACATTCTATTATATTTTTATTAGTTGGATGGTAGATTAGGAAATTACTGTTGGTGTGAAAAACAGAAGGCATAAAATTGGAAAAAAATAGAATTAAATAAGAAATAGATTCTAAGAATAAAGGTAAGAAGACATAATTCACAGTTACAACTCCATTTTTGACTTGTTTATACAAGTTGTTTACTCCCGAAACTCAGAAATGAACAAAATAGAGACATTAATTCTGTCATTGTTTGCCGTTTACATAGCACAAAACAGACATGTCAGCAAGGAAGATAAAGGAATACAGGACCTGCCTCAGTTAGAAAATAATCCTTTTCAGGAGAGAGATGGCCATCGAGGGTATCACTGATTTAGAATACAAGCCCGCTTACAAGACATCACAGAGGACAATGGTAGATAATTAAGAAGAGTTATTGTTTCTAAAATCAAAAAGAAGTAAAGAAAAAAATGTCTACAGAAAGATTAGTGTAAGGTCCAATGAAAAAGCATTATGCTGTGAGGCCTTCATAAATGAAACCAAAAGTATCATAACAAAAAGATGAGAAAGAAAGCAGATCTGACAACATTTTATAGGGAGCCATTTCCTTTAGTCATAAAATAGTATGAAGGATAATAATGTCCTTCTTGATATTTCTGCAGCCTCTCATGCTGTTGGCTATCTTCTCTGAGTTTTCATAAAAATGTTCTGTCAATTCTCCTACCCATATGACTGTCTTTTCAGTCTCTTTTGCTGGTTCACATCCATATCACGCTCCCTAACTGGATATTTCCTAAGGCGCTGTCCTAGTCTCTCACTTGGTGACCTAATCAGTTCCCATGAGTATGTCATTGTCATTTCTGTGCACATAACTCCAAGATCGATCTAGTCAACTTATCTACTGAGTACCAGTGCCTCAGATGACGTGTCTCATGGTTATTCTCCAAACAGAAGTCATTTTCCCCCACAGATCCACCCATCTTGTAGCTTCCCTATTTCTGTTAAGGATACTGCCATTCTTCCATTCACATGTATTCACAGCCTCAGCATCATCAACTCTGAATTCTTCCTCACCCCGCTTCCCTCAGAGACCCATCCAGTTGCCTTTTCTACCTCCATAACATCTCTCCTGTCTGTCCTTCTCCAGTTCAGGCCTTCACCATCTCTTATTTGGGTCGTCAGTATAGTCTATTAATTGGTCTCCCTGTCCCAGCATCTGTCCTCTGCAATAGGAATATAAAGGAAAACAACTCAGAAAGACCTCAAAAGACTGACCTGGAATCAGTCAGCAATGAATGAGTGATAAAATCCACATTAAGCACTTACTGTGTGCTGTATGCAAGCCCTGAGGATACAAGTACAAAGGGAGTACATTCTTTGATCTCTAGGAACTTAGATTCCAAGGTAGGGAGATACCACATACAAAGTGTCCCAGAAGTCTTAGTGCAGATTTAAGCCTGTATCAGGAGTAGTGACCGAGTTGGGGGCTTGATTTGCTTAGTTATCAGGATGGTGAGTGGAGCCATAGGGTTAGATTGGCCCAGAGGTTTTGCCGGTAATGGCAATATTGATTTGATTATGGTTCCACAACTGGAGGGAGGGGTATAACATAGGGTGGTACATGTGCATAGCAGCAAGGTGGCTGGGCTGTCCAGTAATTCTTGGCTGTAGTCCTCCAGGAATAGTGGACCAGCTGAGGAACTCATCAGTCAGCCCTGTGGGACCCTAGTGCAGGAGTTCTGGAGCTGCACGGGGTCAGGTCCTCAGGAGGTGGTTTCTGCCCCAAGCAGATGGGCAGCTAGCAAGGAGATGGTCCAGGACTAGATGGTGCAAATACAAAGACAAAAACAAGACAGTCCTTGCTCTTGAGGAACATTGTAAAGTATGCATCTCCCCATTTGACAGAGATGCAGAGTAAGATGTTGTATTCAGACAGATCCAGTGTCTTAGTCTGTGAGCATTTAAGAACTTACTTTGTGTTGCGCACTGAGCAACTACAAAGAAAGACAAAAATACTGTCCCTACCCTTAAAGAGCTCACATTCTAATGAGGGAGACAATTGATAAACAACTATGTACATATAAAGTATAATATTGCAAATCTCAGAGGAATAGGGCTGGGGGAGCCTCTTACAGAAGGTGGGATTTAAACTAAGTCTTGAAGGGAGCTAGGAGGTTGGAAATAAGGAAGGGAGAGCATTTTAGGCATGGGGATCAGTTGGGCGATGGAGGGTAGGCGGGACATCAGGAAGGCAGGTGTCACTGGATTATAGAACATGGAGAGGGTCAAGTCTAAGAAGATTGGAGAGGTAGGAAGGGGCCAACTTGTGAAGAGCTTTAAAGGCTGATCCTGGAATTAAAGGGGGCCACGAGAGTTGGGGGAGGTGACATAGTCAAACCATACTTTAGGAAAATCACTTTGATAGCTAAGAGGAAGATGGACTGGAATGAGGGAGAACAGCAGAGTATTGGAGAAGTCCAGGCATGAGGTGATGAGGGTCTGCACTAGGGTGGTGGCTATACTAAAAGGCAGGACAGAATGTATAGAAAGAGGTGTTGTGATGCTAGAAACCTGAGTTGGTTACAGATTGGATATTGGGAGAAAGGGTGAGTTAGGAATCAAGGATGATGCCTCAGGTGAAAGACTGCATAACTGAAGGTTGGTGGGCCTCTCAACAGTAAAAGGGAAATCGAAAACGTGGGAGGGTGTGGGAGGAAAGATAATAGTTTTGTTTTAGGTTTGAGCTATCTACCAGACATCCACTTCAAGATGTCCAATAGACAGGTGGTGGTAGAGACTAGAGTATAGGAGAGGAAGGGAGGCAACTAGTTTTTATGAAGCATTAATTAGGTGCCAGACACCGTGTTAAGAGAAACAAGTCGCAGCATAGAAATGATCATTGAACCCATAGAAGCTAGTGGTATCACTAAAAGAGAGAGTACAGAGGGAGAAGATAAGAGGTCCAAGCACAGGACCCAAGGTTGGTGGGTGTAACCTGGGTAAAGATCCAGCAAAGGAGATGGAGAAGGAGCAGGTAGAAGGGGACCAGGAGAGTTCAGTCTCACAAACGCCTAGAGAGGAGATGATATCCAGGAGAAGCAGCTGATCAGCCACAAATTTGCGGAGAAGTCAAGGATGAGTATTGAGAAAAGGCCATTAAATTTGTCAATTTGGAGATCGTTGGTAATTTTGGAGATAGCAGTTAAGTTGAATAATGTAAATCAGAAGTCAGGAGTTTAGAAGAGACCACTTCATGTGCCACTCACTATCACCCCTATGACTCCTCTTTCTCTTCTATTTCCTGTACTAGGAGAAAACACTCCCCAGGCCCTTTTCCATTATCTGACTTCCCACGCACTCATTTCCTGCCCATTCTCTCATCCTCTTCTCCAGTCCTTTCCCACCCATGTCCTACTCCAACCCTATATATCTCTTCTACTGTGCCCTGTTGAATTTCTATTCCATCTTGAGCTAATTACCTTTTATCTTGGACCTCTTTCTCTCACCTTCCATCTCTTAGCCCACACTGAGACCTGACTCCCCCCAGTGACTCTGCATCCCCAGCTTTCCTCTTCAGTGTTGGCTGTATTTTCTCTCATACCGACTCCCCAACATACTGGTCCTGGATGGGAAATCAATACCCCTTGCTTCCCACCACACTTTACTTTTATCTCCTTCACTCAGCCTTTGCTCCTTTGAAGTTTGCTCCATCAGAATTTTCCACCCAATCCAAATCATAGTGACTACAAAGTCAACCCCAGGTATTTCTCGTTTCTCAGGAAGCTAAGTACCTGACTTACTATCTTCCTCCTCTCCCCTATTCTTGCCCTTATACTAGGGACTTCAATATTCTTGTAGATGATTGTCAATATTTATCTGTGTATTTGATGTCTTCCCCCATTAGAGTATAAGTTCATTGTGTGTTGGGATTGTTACATTGTTTTCTATTTGTATCCACAGTGACTAGCACACAGTAAATATTTAGTAAGTACTTGTTGCTTGATTGATTTATTACAAAAGAGGGCTTCTGTTTTCGGAAGAGGGAGAGTTAGTGGGTAGTGGTAGTGATGTGGAAAAGGAAGTAAAGGACATCAGTAAAACATTTAAATGCAGAGAAAAGAGCAGAAAGAGATGCAAAGAAGCAGGGCAGTTTTGTTTTCACCATTTTAAGTTTAACACACTTGAAACTAAATATAACAGAGTTCTCAACTAGGTATATAATTCCTCTACTGTTCTTTGTATGTTGAAATGCTTATGTTTATTATTAAAAGAAAATTTTATTTTTTTAAAAAGAATGATGCAGACAAGAGTTGCAAAGAATGAAATGGACTGAAGGAGGAGAGACAGAGAGTGAGAGTATCAGTACTCACAAAAGATCTGCTAAAATAGCAACACTGTTTTAGAAGGTCTTTACTACTAATTTACCTCTACTATTGTGCATAATAATTTTTTATTATACATACATACTCCTTTATGTAAAATTGAGAAAACACTTTTTATGTCTCATTCTTTTTTACAGGTGGAGAACCGAAAACAGTTCGGAGCTGTGGAAGCCAGAGAATTGCCCTTCGAAGTACAATTACAGGCAGAACGAGAAGCTTTAGATAGAAAGGAAAAAGAGGTTAAAAAAAATATTAATTTTAAAAATTGAGATTTTAATTATTTTGTGTTATTTTAAAAGCATCAGTTCAACATAAGATCCTACAGCATGTTAGCTAAGAAGACTTTAATTTGCCTACTTAAAGATATATCACTGTGCAGCAATAGATTTTGCTTAGAAATTGTTTTCTTAATAAGCAGTATTTTTCTTCTCTCTGAACTTGCTTTAGTAATATCTTTACTATGTGAACACCCCAACCCTCACACCTTCCTAAACTATCTCATGACTGAACTTTCTCAGTATATTTTTTTTCTTTCTAAAGGAGAAAGACCCCTTGGGATAAAGTAAACATGATTTTTAAAAATTCAAAATTGATATTTATTCTGATAGTCCCAAGTAAATTAGAATTAACTTAAGAAAACCAGTCAGAAAGAGATGCTAAGAAAATATTATCAGAAATACTGAAACTCAGAACAATATGAGAGACTGACTTAGAGTTGTTTCTTTTTTTTTAAGCTGTTTGGCAGTGGGTTCTTTTTTTGTTTTTTAATTGTATTAGAAAAAAAGAGGCAGATAAAAGAAGTGGGCCATTACTTGAGAGTGGCTGGGATAATAAGAGATGACAGAACTTTTCAACTTTGTGTTTTCTTCTGTTTTCTCTGCCAAGAAGAATGATCCCTCAGGAATGGACAAAGCAAAAATGGTTCATAGGGGGTTGAAACCCAAAATAGGCAAGGTGATGATACCGAGAAAGCACTCAGTTACCCTTAAGAGTTCATGTTGAGGCTGTTGGGAAAGGAGTGAAGGTTAAGTGGGTCAAGTACTCCCTGGTGAAGACCTAGAGGGAAGGATGGTACAATCTTCTCTGGTGTACTTGCACTGTCCATCCACATAGCCTCAATTCATTAATCCAGATTCCAAGTTGCAAGCCACTTCATCCTGGGGCAAGGATAGAGAGGGAGCGGTACACAGACCTCTGGCTGCCCTTAATAATGATAAAACAGAAGAAATTCCTCATGTGACAGACGGAGAGCTGGACGACTTGAGGTACAATCCCAGCTCTTCCACTTACCTTGGTGACTTTGGGCAAATCATTTCACCTTGATGAGCGTGTTTTGCTTACTTGCAAAATGAGGACGTTGAATTAATTAGATGATCTCTGAAGGCTCCTGGCTCTGTCACTTACTAGACATTTAGTCTCTTCTCTCCCAGCTTCATTTTCTCATCTGTAAAATAAGGAGATTGGACAAGGTGATTTCTAACCTTCTTGCCAATTCTAATATTCTGTAAATATTACTTGTGGCTTTTGACTGTCAAGGAACGTATAGCCTTTTAGGCAAAACAAGACGGTTACACTAATAACTAAGATATACTATAAAAAGTTTTCAGTCTTATAAAAGAGAAAGAACGTACCAGTGGAGGGTTAGTGTCTACTAGTATCCAGAATGGCTTCGTAGAGGAGATGGCATTTGAGCTTGTGAGAAGGGTTTGTTTCATTCGTGGTTTTTGTGTTCACGGGGCCTAACACGTAGCAGGCATTTATGAAATACTTGTTCATTGATTGTTTGACATGAAAGAATGAGCAGGGTTTTGACAGGTAGATTGAGGGGGGGAAAGGGGATCCTAAACAGGAAATAGCCAAGCAAAGGCACAGGAGGAGGATGCCAAGTCATGTGGTGTGGTTGGAGAAGAAGGGAACTATTGGGAGGTAAATCATGTCATGGAGGGTTGTGAAAACCATGATAAGGAATTTGGGTTTTATTCCATGATCAGTTCAAGCTTTTGAGCAAATTGGCTTTAGGAAGATTCATCTGGCAGCATTGGGATGTGCAGCATAGTGGAGAGAGAAAGCACTGGGCTCTGGGGGCTGAAAGCTATGGGTTTGAGTCTTGAGTTTTGCTACCTTCTGTCTGTATGACTTTGAGGAAGTCATCTAACCTCTTGGTGACTCAATTTCATTATCTGCAATAAGGGAATCATATGTGTCTTACCCTTCTTATAGGATTATTGTGAGGACCAAATATTATGTAACTCCTACAGCCTCAGTTTCCAAATTTGCAAAAATGAGGAAATGATAGTACCTATGTCACAAGGTCATGAGGTGCCAGTGATATGCTTTATCTGCTCTGGACTTACTAGCTTAAAATTGCTTAGTTTGTAATACAATAAGAAAGCCAGTTAGTAACTTCTTTTTTAAAATAATCTATGCACCAGAATTGTTGCCTGAAAATGACAGTAATTTTTTTATTGACCCAAACAAAAAAAAAAACTTTAGAATTGCAGAATATTAGCACTAGAAGGGATCTCACAGACCATTTAGTCCAGCCCTTTTATTCTGTTGGTTTCTTAGAACCCGGTCATGTATAAACATAAGATATAATTTTGAACAGGTAACAGTACTTTTTTTTCTACAGGATCTCTTGGGAAATGAACATTATATATAAAGAAGTTCTTTCTTCCATTTCTGTTTGTTATTTTGAATGCGTAGATCACGAACTTAGAAGAGCAGTTAGAGCAGTTTAGAGAAGAGCTGGAAAATAAAAATGAAGAAGTTCAGCAATTGCACATGCAGTTAGAAATACAGAAGAAGGAGTCTACTACACGCCTGGAAGAGCTCGAGCAAGAGAATAGATTGTTCAAGGTAATTATTGGAGGCAAATGAAGTTTCCTTTCTGCTTTGTTTTTGTTCAACTGAACTATAACACAGAAACACAAATGTAGATCCATTACAGTTGAACATTTTATCTTTATTATACATGAAAATTATCTAAGTGCAAAGTGGTTTGCCAAATTTGCCAAATTTGTTTTTTTTTTAAACCATGTGATCATCTATTTGAGCAGAAGGAAGGTGGATTGGCCGAGTGGTACAGTGGAAAGAATGTTAGATTGGAGTTAGGATACAAGGGTTCAGGTTCTAGCTGTGACACTTAGCAGCTGTGTGACCAGGGGCCAAGAAGCCTCCGTTTCATCTTCTGTAAAATGGGCAAAGCAATATACCACACTCACAGAATTGTTGTTAATAAAACACTTTGTAAACCTTAAAACATTATAGAAGTGTGACCCATCATTATCACTGTTTTTTCCATATTTTTTGTTGTGCATTTTGACATTCTAATTTACATAATCTTTAGTTGGAAGGCCATTCAGAAAATGCCACTATAATAACAGCCATTGTGTTTATTATTTGTCAACAGGATGAAATGGAAAGCCTAGGTTTTACTGTACAAGAATTTGAAGATATCTCCACAAAGGACCATCATCAGCTGTTTGGGAAATTTACTCAAATGATACAGGAGAAAGAATTAGAAATTTGTAGACTAAATGACCAAATTACAAAACTTCAGCAGCAGCAGCTTGAAATTACAACAGATAATAAGGTATGGTTATCTTAAATTGGCTGATACTTGAAATAAGTTCTAGAGCTAGAATGATAAAGAGCAGAATGTTGAACTTTGGTACATAGTGATATCAAGTAGATTTCAAATATTTCTTATTTTCTAGGCTCCTAGAATTCCTAATTCATTTTCATTCCCTTTTGGCTTCTATAGTTATTCAAACTTTACTTAGTGATTTTTGCATACTAAGTGCTTTTTTATTTATCTCAGTATCCCCCACTCACCCACCTTTGATCATTGCAGCATTCTAGCATTTCTTAGTGTATAGGTATCTCAGGTTTCTTCGTGGAATTCTAATAAACACACACACACACACACACACACACACACACACGTACATATCCACACATATAGGTGCATGTATATGTGTGCAATGTTTATATATAATGAAAATGTCTATTTGAAGGTTATTGGTGACAGCACAGCATAGTGGACTTGGAGTCAAAAGACCCAGGTTGGAGTCTGGCCTCAGACATTTAAGAGCTTTGTGACTCTGGGCAAGTCACTTAATCTCACTGAGCCTTAATTTCCTCATCTGTAAAATGAAGATAATCACAGTGTATAAATATCACCTAACATTATATTTATATATAATAAATATGTAGATTATAAACTTTGAAGAGTAATTAGAGCCATTTGGAAAAAAGTTGTAAAATATATCTGCATACCACTTGATAGGTATGGGCTTAGGTATTGGTGCTATCTTCTGGATACTGTTTTTCCTTCAGCAGTTAATATTTAAAATTCAATTCAACAAACATTTTTTTAAAGGTATACCATGTGAATAAGAGAAGAAAAAGAAATTGAAGGAATTAGAACAGGTAGTGAGGAAACAAAACTATCACTTTTGCTTATGAGATGATGGTGTACTTAGAGAATCCTAGAGAATCAACTAAAAAACTACTTGAAATAATTAGCAACTTTAGCAAAGTTTTAGAATATAAAATAAACCCACATAAATCATCGATATTTCCATATATTACCAACAAAGTCCAGCAGCAAAAGATAGAAAGAGAAAACAAATTTAAAATAATTGTAGACAGCATAAAATACTTGGGAGTCTACCTGCCAAGACAAACCCAAGAACTACATGAACACAATTGCAAAACACTTCTCACACAAATAAAGTAAGATCTAAACAATTGGGAAAATATTAATTGCTCATGGATAGGCCGAGCCAATAGAAAAAAAATGACAATTCTGCCTAAATTAATCTATTTATTCAGTGCCATACCAACCAAACTACCAAAAATTTATTTTATAGAGCTAGGAAAAAAATAATAAAATTCATCTGGAAGAACAAAAAGTCAAGAATACCAAGGGAATCAATGAAAAAAAAAATGTGAAGGAAGATGGCCTAGCCATACCAGATCTCACACTATGTTATAAAGCGGTAATCCTCAAAATAATCTGGTACTGGCTAAGAAATACAATGGTGGATCAGTGGAGTAGATGAGGTACACAATACATTTTAGTAAATGACCGTAGTAATTTAGTATTTGATAAGCCCAAAGATATAAGCTTTTAGGACAAAAACTCATTCTTTGACAAAAACTATTGCAAAAACTGGAAAACTGTGTAGCAGAAACTAGATGCAGAACAACATCTCACACCATATACCAAAATAAAGTCAAAACAGATACACGATCTAGACGTAAAGAGTGATAACTATAAGCAAATTAAAATAGCATAGAATAGTTTACCTGTCAAATCTATGGATAAGAGAAGAATTTTGGACTATGCAAGATATAGAGAACATTACAAAATGTAAAATGAATAATCTTGATTATGTGAAATTAAAAAGTTTTTGAGGGGCAGCTAGCTGGCACAATGGATAGATCACCGGCCCTGGACTTAGGAAGACCTGAGTTTAAATCCGGCCTCAGATACATAACACTTACTAGCTGTGTGACCCTGGGCAAGTCACTTAACCCGGATTGCCTCACCAAAAAAACAAAACAAAAAAACCCACAATTTCTGTGCGAACAAAACCAATGCAACCAAAATTAGAAGGAAAGCAGAAAACTGGGGGAAAATTTTTATAGCACGTATCTCTGCTAATGACTTTATTTCTCAAATATATAGAACTGAGTCAAATTTATAAAAGTACAGGTCATTCCCCAATTGATAAATGGTCAAAGGAAAACTGCCTGTTTTCAGACAAAAAAAAATCAAAGCTATCTATAGTCATATGAAAAAATGCTCTGAATCACTTATTGATTAGAGAAATGCAAATTAAAATGACTGAGGTACCACCTCATACCCATCAGATTGGCTAATATGACAAAAAAGGAAAATGATAAATGTTGGAGAGGATGTGGGAAAACTGTGACACTAATGCACTGTTAGTAGAGTTATGAATTGATCCAACCATTCTGGAGAGCAATTTGAAACTACACCCAAAGGGCTATAAAACTGTGCATACCCCTTGACCCAGCAATACCACTGCTCGGTCTGTATCCCAAAAAGGTTTTTTTTTTTTTTTTTAAGAGGAAATGAACATATTTGCACAAAAATATCTATAGTAGCTCTTTTTTGTAGTGACTAAGAATTGGAAATTGAGGGTATGCCCATCAATTGGTAAATGGCTGAACAAGTTGTGGTATATATTGTGCTATAAGAAATGACAAGCAGACTGCAGAAAAACTGATGCAAAGTGAAGTGAACAGAACCAGGAGAATGTCGTATACAGTAACTGCAGTATTGTACGACGAGCAACTGAATGACTTAACTGTTCTCAGTAATACAGTGATTCAAGATAATCCCAAAGGACTCATGATGAAAAATCCCAGAGAAAGAACTAATGAAATCTGAATACAGACCAAAGCATACTATTCTTCCTCCCTCTTTATCTTTCTTCCTTTCTTTCTTTTTTGAGTTTTCTTCCACAGAATGTCTAACACAGAAATGTTTTGCATGATTGCACAGGTTTGACCTATATCAGATTGCTTACCATCTCAGGGCAGGGGGAGAGGAAGGAAGTAGAGATAGAATTTGAAAGTTAAAACTTTTAAGAAAAAAAACAACAAATCTTAAAAATTGTTTTTGCATGTAATTGGAGGGACAATAAATAATAATTTTTAAAAAATAAGATATACCATGTGTAAGATACTGGGTTTCATTCAGGTAATATTAAAACAGCAATACAATAGGCCCTACCCTTAAGGAGCTTATATTCTATTTGGAAATATAATTTCTAGCTGAGTTTATTTTGACAATTTTAACTGCATTTAATCAAATTATGTTGGATTTGTTGGTGATACTTTCTATATGATTCCAATTTTTGATGTGATAAATATGGAGGTAGTCTGTATTGAAATCAACAGAATGTGATATAGTCAAGAAATTCAGAATTTTTGAGTACCCAACTTTGGTCCAAAATAAGATGAAATGGATAAAAATGTAAGTGTATCTTTTGATAGGCTATAAAAATATTTTTTTCATTAACTTGTAGGTTATTGAAGAAAAAAATCAACTGATACAATATCTGGAATCTCAGCTAGAGTGTCTTAAGAGTGACCAAGAACGTATAAAGAAAAATAGTGAAGAAGAAATAGAACAGTTCAATGATGTAATTGAAAAACTTCAGCAGGAATTGTCAAATATTGAACAGAAGGCACTGGTGGACGGCCCTTCTCTTCCAGAGGAGTCTGACAGTCTAAAACAGCAGCTGGATGCTCTGAAAGCTGAAAAACTGGCTTTGGAGCAGCAAGTGGAAAGAACCCAAGAAGAGGTGGTCCTCGCCCAGACTGCCCTTGAGGAGACTAATTTCCAAATGAATCATCTGAAAGAAGAACTGGCCATCCTGAAGGAAGAGAAGCGTGACCAGGCACAGACTGGAAGTGCCAGGGGCGTGAGGGAGGACAACAGCAAAAACCGACCCGGGGAACTGGTGGCAGCTTTGGAGCCCCTAGAGAGCCAAGCCCCACTCCAGCCCCCAGAAGAAAAGAGCAGGGTCTTTGTCGGCGATGCAGAGCTGACGCTAGAGCTTACACGGTGCCGTCAGCATATGGAGGACATGAAAGAGCAGGGCCGGGCCGAGAGGGCAGCCCTCCAGGAGGAGGTCAGCAACCTCCAGGAAATGCTGGAAGAGAAGGTGGCTGCTCTCATTGTGAGTCAGGCCCAGCTCAGAGCAGTGCAGGAGTACATGGGCTCCTGGCAGCAGATGCAAGCACCCTCAGCAGAGCTCTGGGAAGAGGCAGCATCCCAGCCATCGGGACCTACCACCAGAACCTCCAAGCCAGGAGGCCATGTGGCTGAAATGAATGAGAAGGAGCCGGCAGAAACTGCAGAGAAAAACACTTTGGAAAAAGACCTTGAGAAGAGCCCGGAGGAGGAAGGGGAAGACACAGGAACAGCTGAGGTCAGTTCAGACTTGATAGCTTACCTCGAAAACTGCTCTTCCTTTGAAATCCTGGAATCAATCACAGTGTTGTAGGGCAGAAAAAGACCTTCACGGTCGTCCCGTTCAGCCTCTTCGCTCAGTTTACAGAGAAGGAAACTGGCACAAAGGACCCATCAGTAGAGGCAAAACTCAAACGCAGGTCTCTTTTCTAGTGATCTTTCCAGTATTAATTAGTAATCATATTAAGCTCTATTAAAATTTAACTGGTGTAGTGTATGTTCCACAATATGCACTGTATATTCTTTTTCTCTGAAGCTGTGAAAAGAGCACAGATGCTAGAGTTAGAAGACCTGCATTTGAGTCCCCAGTCAACCCTTCATGGGTGTGTAGAGAGTCTAGTTTACTCATCTGTCAAATGGTATAATAATAGTTGCACTACCTTCTTCTCAGGGCTAGTGTGATGAAAGCACACCTTAAAGCATTCTATAAATGTGCATTATCTTTATAGTATGTTGTTGCCGAGGTCTCTTCAAGCTCTAAAATTCTGTGATTTTGTTATTATGATTGGAATTAGTCAACAATTTGTGAAGTTTCCATTATGTGAAAAATGTATTTATTTTGCAGTAACTAAGTCATTGCAACATTACCAAAAATCGGATGCAAAATTTTCATTTCTAAACTACAGACATTCTCCAACTTGCAAAGTTCAGAGAGCAGCATGTTGTGCTGGACAGAGAGCTGGATTAGGAGTCAGGAGGACTTGGGTTACAATCCCATGTCAGATGCTTCCTAGCTGTTTGATGACAGGCAAATTAGTTAACTTCTCTAAGCCTTGGTTTCCTCATCTGTAGTGTGGGAACAGTACCTGTAGTACCTTCCTTTCAAGGCTTTTGTCAGTCATTCAGTCACTCAGTTCATATTTGTTGTCTGTTATGTGCTAGGCTGTTTGCTACAAAACAGCTCCTGCTCTCCAGGAACTCACAGCCTAATTTGGTGGGGCAGGGGGCCTAGATATAGACACGCCTTGTGAAGGGTAAATTAGAAATAATCCATAGGGGGAAGGCATTAACGCTAGAGGGGATCAGCAAGGGCTTTCTATAGAAGGTGGGATTTTTAGGACAAAAACTCATTCTTTGACAAAAACTACTGCAAAAACTGGAAAACTGTGTAGCAGAAACTAGGTGCAGAACAACATCTCACACCATATACCAAAATAAAGTCAAAACAGATACACGATCTAGACGTAAAGAGTGATAACTATAAGCAAATTAAAATAGCATAGAATAGTTTACCTGTCAAATCTATGGATAAGAGAAGAATTTTGGACTATGCAAGATATAGAGAACATTACAAAATGTAAAATAGCTGATAATGAAAGGAAGGAGGGAAGCCCAAAGTGGAGATGAAAAGGGAGGATGTTCCAGGCATGGGGGCCAGCCAGGGAAAATGCCCAGAGAATAGTAAAGAGTATGTGTGAGGCAGGGAGGAGGACAGTGTTAGGGGACATGGGTAAAGTGTAAGGGGGGAGGACAGGTGATGAAGGCTTTAAACACCAAACAATATTGTAATTGATCCTGGAGGCGAGAGGGAGCCCCTGAAGTTTATTGAGTGGGGTGGGGGAGTGACATGGCCAGACAGACCTGCACTTCATCAAGATGACTTTGCTCAGGTAAAATTATATATGTATAATCTTTTACAAATGTGATTATTTAGCACTTGGAATGCATTTTTGCATTGACATGTTATATACAATTATTAGACTCTCAGGATGGACACCTCACAAAAGGTCATTTAACTTCTAATTTACCTGAACTATATATAGATAGAGTGTTATTATCTCAGACCTACAACTTCATTGGTATGGGGAGCTCTAGGAAACTCTCTCCACCACTGCACACTGTCAATCAACCATTCTGACACTTGGAATCTTAGAGTAGCCTAGGGCAATGAGAGATTGTGACTTATTCAGGGTCATAGAACCCATATGTGTGAAACTGAACTGGGTCTTCTTGATTCCAAGTAAAACTGTATCCGTAATGTCCAGTGCTGGGGCAGCTAGGTAGCACAGTGGCGCAGCCCTAGAGACAGGAGGACCTGAGTTCAAATCTGGCCTCAGACACTTGACACTTAACTAGCTGTGTGACCCTGGGCAAGTCACTTAACACCATTGCCTAGCCAAAAAAAAAAGAATGGCCATAATGTCCACTGCCTTTCCTAAAATATAGTCTTGTACTTAGAGAAACATAAAATGACAATATTTTAAAAAGAAAATATACTCAAAGTTCCAAGTTGGGATTCTAGGAACACAATTCCCACTGATAGCTATCTCTTCAGTGAACTTGGCAGCTCTTCCCCATACTAATTAGTAGGAATGGGAGCTTTGCCTTGCTTCAGTCCACTGGTACAGGGAAAATATTGCAATGGAAGGGAATCTTGGATGGGGACAAGCTCTCTTCTATCAAAGATGGATTCTTCAGTGGTCTGGCAGTAAGGAGCTCAAAGGGAGGTGCCACCTACCCACCTACCAGGATAAAACCTCCCAAGTCACTTCTTGACCCTGGATCAGCCCCCCCAATCTTTCTCTCCCCCCTTTCCTTTTGAGGCCCTGGGGATTGGCCCACCTCCTTCCTTTTCTTCCAACACAACCTGCATTCTTCTTACTAGAATTTCTTTCTTTCTCACCTTGCTGTGGAACATAGCATAAGTCTCACAACTTCTGTACTGTTACACCTATCACCAAAAGTGAGCATAGCCTTTTCTAGCTTTTCTAAAAGGCTATTTTTGGTTTTTTACTAGTAGTAACAGTTGTAAACAGGAAGTTACTTCTGTTTTCCCCCTTCTCAACTTTCTATATTTCTACTTAGACCCTGTAGGGAAAGTCATAGTTTGATTTATAATGAATTGAAGTAAGATTGAGGTATATTTCTAAGGAGTCAGTCAGTAAGCATTTATTAGGCACCTGTTATGTGCTACACGCTGAGCTAAAGGCTGGAAATGCAAAGAAAGGCACAATAGTCCTTGCCCTCAAGGAGTTCACTATCTGATGTGAGGAGGTAGGTAGTAGCTGTAGAGCTATGATGAAGTCCTGTAGTCAGGAAACAAGATAAGGAGGTGAGAGTTTCAGAGTTATTTTGTGTTGGAGAGTGATGAGTTTCTGGAAGTTTCATGAAGTCCAGGAAAGCAGATAGGTGTGAAATGATGAAGTCAATTTCCAGAGAGCCTTCCTTAAATGATGGAGGGTCAAGGACCCGGTCTCCAATGTCCAACCTCCATCCTCTTCAGTTAGAGGGAGGGTGTGGCCCCAGGGGCTGGGGGTGCTGAGGAGGTATGAATTTCAGAATGGATTTCATCTAGCAGAATGAGGAGTTCATCAAGTCTAGGAAATCAGCCTGGTGGGAAATGATGGATAAGAGACTCCAACTAGCTTTTCTACATAGAAGCTAAATGTAAGTAGAGGTTTAGGGTTAGGATGAAGAAATGTGTCAGATTCTAGAGATTCTTTAGCCCTGAGGATGGGCAGGTAGGAACATTTAGGACTGGAGTAGAGGAAGAGGGACAGCTCCCTTTTTTTTCAACTACTAATCCTGCCTCTTCACACCCTGAACTTGGGGAGGGGGGATGGGGAGACTAGACTTAGAAGCTTATCTTCCACTCTTCCCTATTCTCTGACCCCGTGGAGGACCATGTAATGAAATAAAAATGGGGGAAGCCATTGTCCCAGGCAGGAAATTGGTGGCAGTGGGACATGAAAGGGTGCAGACAAACGAAGAGCTGTTTATCTTCTGTTCCCATTAATAAACATGATTAACATGTATCGTTTCACTTCATAATTAATTTTCCTAGTTTATAAACATAGTATTTTCTATGTTTTCATATCGTTCCGCTTTATTTTGTTTTTACGTAGTACTATATTCATGGCATCGTCTGTTTGAGATCCACTAAGACAAGTGAAAGTAGGGAAGTCTTTTTGCTCAACTTGCCATCATTAAAGCAGGCAAGGACCCAACAAACTATAGAGAAAAGGCAGAAAAACTTCAAGAAATACTAGTGGCATGATCCCTAATCGCCTATTCTAATAAGTCTTCTCTCGTTGGACTATATGACTGAGCAGGAGCCAGATGGAAGTTATACAAAATAGCTAAGAAATTTTGTTTATGCTGACTCTCTTTACTGTTACCTTTTTGGTCTGGATTTCATGGAAGTCTCTTTTTGCTGGAGGAAGGAAGCCTTCATTGACAGTGATATATTCAGGCAGCTCAGTAGCGCAGTAGATGTAGTCCCAGGTTTGAAGTCAGGAAGACCTAAGTCTAAATCCTGCTTCAGACAGTGACTGGCTCTGTGACCCTCGGCAACATCCTCATCTGTACAGTGGGGATGATAATAATAGCACCTGCCTCGTAGAGTTGTTGCGATAAGCTAGCATACGTAATATGCCTTGCACACCTTAAAGTGCTCTCTTTATAAATGCTCATCGTCATCATCATGTGTGGGCTTGAGATCGGTTACAGTGGTACAGGCAGATGTTAACGAATAGACAAGCCTGACAAAGGAAGCCTTACACTACAGCCCTTGATTTCTGATATTCAGCCCTCTCTACAAAGCATCCATGCATTTTTCCTTCTATCCCGGTAAAGGTCAATTTATATCATCATGATTTATTAAGATAAAACTCTTCATTGTGAAAATTTTTCCAACTATCTTGTATTTGTTGGCTAAAAAATTTCATTATAAAGCTCTCTTACTCCACCCTTCCTATTTTAGGTAAGAGGAACCAATGGGGCACTTCAGGAAGAACTAAGCCAAATTAAGCACCAGCTCATGGAAGCCGAAAAAAAACTTGAATGTTATTCAGAAAAAGAAAGTGAACCCACAGTATCAGAAAGCAAAAAGTCCTCGTGTGACTTTGGACAGCTTGTTGCTGAAAGAGATTCTCACCTTCTTGGTAAAAACTCCTCATCCCAAACAGACAGAATCCTCTGGGTCAGTAGTGGCAATCAGACCCCACAGGTCCCTGTTAAAAGTACAGGAATCCAAAGTGATTTACAGAGCACCTGTCCATCAGAAGAAGTCACTGAAATAATAAGACAGTTCACCGAAAAAATTGGCCAAATGCAGGAACTGCACGCTGCTGAGATCTTGGACATGGAAGGCAGACACATCACTGAGGCCGAGAACCTGAAGAGGGAGCAGTTTGTGGCTGTTCAGCTGCTGACAGAGGAGTGCAACGCCCTGAAGGCGGTGATCCAGTGCCTACGAACCAAAGAGGTATGAGCCTTTTTAAACGCTGGCTTGGCGTTCACTGTACCCAGTGTAAGATCGGAGCTTGACACCAGACTCCTGGACAGAAAAATGTGAAGATGTCGCTTGCTTTTCACTCCCCACATTACCTCTTTAATGTTTAGATAAGGAAGAAATTAAAATGGGTAAGAAGCTGAAAATCATTTATCATAAAAAGGGACAGAAATGGGTTCCTGATAGCGTCAGAGAAGAATCAAAAGCATTCACTGAAGAGCTAGGTAGCATAATGGGGAGAGGGCTGGACTTGGGGTCATGAAAAGTCCTTGGTTCACATCATGCCTCAGACCTTACTATTAGTGTGTCCCTGGACAAGTCACTTAACAGCTCTCAGCCTCAGTTTCCTCATCTGTCAAATGCTTATAATAATAGAACCTGCTTGACAGAATGGTTGTGACAGTCATGTGAAAGAATAAATGTAAGGCACTTTGTAAGCCTTACAGAAATAGTTATAGATTTTTTTTATTTACATACATACATGTCAGTTGTTATTTTTATTATTTATTGGGCAAGACAGTAATAGGTCTTCTTTAAAATGCATTTGTTCTGTCCAATATAGGGAGTTTCAGTTCCTGGATCAACACACTCTGACTCTTATCAAAGTAGAGAAATGTGTTCCAGTGGTAAGTCATGATAGAATTTTATTTTTTTACATGTTCCACAATAACATATTCTAAATTTTTTGTCCATTATGTGAAAAATTTCCTTTCATTTTTATAATTTAAATAAATAAAAGTTATAATACTTTTATTTGTATTAAATAATTATTTTTATTTATATTAGACTCCGGATCAGACTGGAGTCCAGGTGCCTGTCTTACACAAAACCAGGGATTTGATACAGTATCAGACGGTCCAGGAGAAGAAGGTGAAAGTTCAACAGATTCATTTCCAAAAAAGATAAAGGTATTAATAAATTAGCATCTTTCTATAACATTAAATCCTTTCTACATTAGAGATAGTGGTGTATTAGGAGTTACAAGTACTACGTTTATGTATGTAGATTCATAGAATTGTGATATTAGAAGAGAGCTTATAGATCATTTTAACTCATTCCCAGCTTTTTTAAGTAAAGAAATTCAGGCTTAAAGAGTTTGAAATTTTTCTCCACCATAAGAAACATATAACTTAAAAGCACATAGCTTGGAAAAAAAATATTTTACTCCATTAACTTTCATGATTTTTTTTCTCTGCTTATTTTTACGTATTTGGTAATGATTAAAACAGCAATGAGGATAGTTTTTACAGACCTAAAAACAATATCCTATGTACTTTTTAGCCACTGAGCAGCTGCCGAAAGGAAATGTACCTAGGCAGGAGCACGCTGGTGAGAGTAGGTGCGGGTCCATCAGAGGGCTGCGTTGGCCTTCTCTTTTAGAGACCTCAGTAGCTGCCATTCAGCCCCCACAATCAGGAGATGTAGTCCCTGCTTGATTTCCCTGAGCTATCTGTAGAGAGAAATGCAGATACCACTGTCTTTTTGTCTAGTTTGATAAATATCTCTCTGTTTCATTCTTCAGTCATCCAGTAGAAGAAGACAGTCTCATCCCTTTTGTTTTGGGTTTGTTTTACAGGGGTTGCTGAGAGCAGTCCATAATGAGGGCATCCAAGTACTCTCTCTCACTGAACCCCCCTACAGTGAAGGAGATGCCAGTTTTGCTCAGCAAGCTTCAGAATTTTGGCTGGAAGAAAGAAAAACTTACCTCAATACAATCTCATCTCTTAAGGATTTAATTACCAAAATGCAGGTGCAGAGGGAAACTGAGGTACTCCAGAAATGTAATGCAAGCATATAAATTTTCAGAATTTTAAAATCTTTCCAATGAGCCCTATTTTCTCAGCCAAGATTTGTCCTTCATGTTGGTAAAAGATGCTGTAAATTTCATACTTGAATAATGTACTTTTTACAATTGCCTATTTAAATATTTGTCATTTTAAAATTTTGAATATGTAGTCATTTTTAGAACATAATGAAAAATGTCCTTCCTTGAAAAATGACGTTATTTTTACACTCTTTTAGCTTTATGAGAGTTCACAGTCCCATGAAAATCTTCCAGATTGGCGAAGTGAATTTCTGCATGCCCTTCAGCAAGTCTTTCTAAAGGAACGAAACATTCTGCTAGCCATGTTTAAGACGGATCTGACATCTCTAGGTACTAGAGATGTCCTTGGATTGCTGAACCAGTTGGAGCAAAGATTACAAGAACAGGTACTGAAAGAAAACTACTTCAAAAGACATACTGATTTCCATAGTATTATTAAGAAACACACGTACGTGAAGGGGGAAATACACCACGAACCCACAATCCCAAATTTGTTAGTATCCTTTGTGTTTTATTATTTAGTGAGAGGCTTCTTAATTAGTGTGATGGTCTTTTCAGTTCAGCATTTAAACAGACATTAAGCATGTATGTAATAAAGAACACTGTGCTAGGTAATGGGAGAAATACATTGAAATAATTGGGAGAATCAGAATAATAACACAGTCCCTTCCCTCATGGAGCTCACTGTTTGATATCATTAACAGATTTTTATATCACTTTCCAAACAGGGCATTGAATACAGAGCTGCCATGGAGTATCTTCAGAGTGCAGATCGAAGAAGCTTGTTGACCGAGATCCAAACATTACAGGCTCAGCTGAATAGTAAAAAGATGACCATGAAGAGAGAACAAGAGAGTGATTCACAAAACCTAGGTATGTAGTATCGTGTATGCTTGCCTATATATGTAAGTATATATTTATAGTCCTAATTTTACTATTTTTTGTCCTTTGCTCAGTTAATGAAAATTTTCTGTTACTGAAACTTTACTGTTATTCTCAGAGAACTATGCAAAATGTAGAGCAAAGCAATATTCATTAGTATTAAAATAATACTTAATTTGCTTATAAAAAGTTACCAGTGAACATTTCATTGAAAATGACACTAAGCCTACTGAATAAATTTAGTATCTTTCTCTGTGCTGTATCTATCCAGGCTGAGATAATAAATAAACAAATTGACTTCGCCATGTTCTACTTGATGGCCTCATGAAAGAAGAATTCTGGGATTTAAACAGTTATTACTTTAAACAAAAATTTCACCAAAGACATCTAATCTTTTTTTTTTTAATTAATTTACTTATTTTTAGTTTTCAACATTCACATCCGTAAGCTTTGGAGTCCTAAATTTTCTCCCACTACCTCCCCAAGGTGACGCACAATCTGATATAGGCTGTACATAAACATTCTTATTTATATACTTTCACATTAGTCATATTGTGAATTAGAATGAATGAGAGGAACCACAAGAAAGAAAAAAAAAACAAAACAAAAAAGAGAGAGAGAGAGCAAATAATATCCTTCAATCTGCATTCAGAGTCCATAGTTCTTTCTCTGGTTGTGGATAGCATTTTCCATCATGAGTCTTTTGGAGTTGGGGTGACTTCTAATCTTAATCATGGCTGTCTCCACATAATCAGTTGTGTCAATATCATCCAGTGTGGTAATAGAGTTTGTCCTACCACTGTATAAAATTTAAAGTGTTACATTCCTTTCAACCCACTAAAAACATAATTTAAGTAAAATAAAGATAATCCATCTAAACGTTTTGTTTCTAGGAAAAAAATTAATTGAAGGTGATTTTACAGTATATTTCATTAGATCAGTGAGAACAAGTCATGTTGTTATTTAAGTGTATGAGGCTCTAATTTTATTGATTTCCATCATACCTCAGGTAAAATCAGTGTCTCTTCCCCTACCAAAAAATACTTGTCAAAGACAGCAGCATCACGCCACCAGGTTGCCCTTCCTACACCCACCCAGTATTTGATATCATCATAAAAGTGGGACTCAGCGTTTCAGTAGCAATTCTTGGAACAAATCGAATCATAGATGAAGTCAGAGAGAGTAAAGTGAAATCTGACCCAAATTATAGCTACACTTATTGAAAATAATTTGCCAGCCCTGTCAGTCTTGTCCAGTATGATAACAGAATCTACATTACTGTGACATAAAGTTTATAGGATATTGAGCCATATCTATCTGCCACTAGGAATGGAGATGAAAGTAATTTCAATAATACAGCCAAATTCATGCTTTATTTTACAAATACCTTTTATCTAAACTTAAGTTTAATGGACTATAGTTTTATTACTGCAGATTTTATTTTTGGAGTTTTTAATTGATGTTCTTTAAAATCCCATTATGCGTGACATATTATTACTTAGATATATCTATGTATCACAAGTCAAATTTTGCTCCCCAAAATATAGATAAATACATATGAGTTTTATATTAATAGCCGATAAAGCTAGTGTTGCTTCTGTCTCCTAACACCATTTTTATTAAAGTATCCCATTCTAAACTGGGTAGGGATTTTAAAATGTACTTTCTTTTCAACTTTAATGTCATGCTACAAATTTTTATGTGTTTTGTTTTTTTTGTTTTCAAAGAAAGTATCGTGAACAAAAACACAGATTTGGACTTAACTTCTACAGAATTATAGTAAAGTTCACAGAAATTGTCTACAAAATGGCGCTGCACAGCAAAGAAAGAAATAGCCGACTAAAACTGAAAATTGTAGCACTAGTTAAATGGATAACTCATGCAAGTACTTTGTATAGATGGCAACTTATTTATGGAGTACAGAGTTGAGGGTTGTTAGCATGAGCTAATAAAATTTGTAGGTGAATGGAAAAAAATAAAGATTCTATTATTCATGTTTTTATTTGAAACTTTAAAAGATTTATATTTGAAATATTATGTTTATTAAATTAATTTGTATTAATTTTATTAATTCTTTTATAAATTTGTTCAATAGCTATGTAATCTTCGTGGTGTTTCAGTATAGCATGGGGAACTTTCTTAATGTTTAGCAATATGTTTCACCCAGTAATCCCAGATCATTATCATTTCACATCTGTCTAATAAAATATTGGAAATGGTACAGAATATAAAGTGTAAATAAAAGCATAAAGCTAATAAAATAGAAGAAACCAGACCTGTAAATTAAGTAATGCTCTGACATAGTTATTCTTAAAAGGAATTAAGCAGTTGTGTCACAGATATTCATGTGTTCTTTCCAGAACTGTTGGAACACAACGTGCAGCAGAAGCAGGCTCAGCTCCTGGAGATGCAGGTGGAGATGAGCACACTGAAGGAGAGAGCAGCCGAGCTGCAGGATGAGCTCAATTCTGAGAGAGTGAGAGCTGCCGAGCTCCAGGATGAGCGCGCACAAGCCAAGCTGGAGCTCGAAACAACACTCAAAGCCCAGCACAAGCACTTGAAGGAGTTAGAGGCATTCAGGTGTGCCGGGCTTCCTTATGTCAGCGGCCTGGGTTGTGGGCGTTCGTGTCATCATCCTTTCCACTGACCTTGATACGCACCCAGAATTACCTCACTATTCAATCTGGAAGTCAAATTTTCCCTGTCTTCCCAGAACTTATTTGGAAATAACGTGAAACAAGAAATCTTGAGGATTTCCTGACTCTTGACTGTTTTTCTGTAATTACACATGAGAAGACTTACAGTGCAGAGCATTAGAGCTGATGGATACCATGTACTGAGAGAGGCAATGTTAAAAAAAAGAAATGAAAAGATTATACACAGAAATAGAATTTCTGTAAGCAGTTTCACCTAGCATAGCATTAATAGTTTTTCCTAGGGCAGCTAGGTGGCGCAGTGGATAGAGCACTGGCCCTGAAGTCAGGAGGACCTGAGTTCAAACGCAGCCTCAGACCAAACACTTGACACAGTCACTTAACCCTGATTGCCTAACAGAAAAAAAACAAAAAAAAATAGTTTTTCCTAATCCTGAATCCAGGATTCTTTTCTAGCCCAAGCTTCATACCTTGGTTTGGTGTTAGGAAAGTTATTTAATTTTGAGTAACTTATTTTAACAAGTAACTTAAGGTGATGGGTATGACCTCTGTGAGATGAATTAATTAGTATGATTGGGGATTAGTTCAAATGTGTACATTTTTAAAAGGTGATATTTTATATAAAGGCTAGACATTTATATCAGTGAAGTTTGGATCCCTAAAGAAAAACTCATTTATTATTTTGAAAAATGGTAGGGAAAGATGTAGCTATATAATGGTTATTTACCATACTCAGGAAAAAATGTGTATTTACAACTGTAGTAAATTGCACTTTTAATTAAATAAATGTATAAGTTTTCATTAAATACTGTATTATCTGCCTTAATAAATGGTAACTTGACAGTAGTTAACCAGTATTGCTCCTGGAATAGGTTAACTTCAGTCTTAATAAGTATTTATTAGGTGTCTGTTATGCACCAGGCACAGTTCTGGGTTCTGGAGATAAACATAAAATAGTTCCTGCCCTTAAAGAGTTCACATTCTATCAGGAGAAACAACTTGTCTACATATAATTCAATGTAAGATATGTACAAAGTGGATACTAAAAAGGAAGAGATTCTCACAGCCAGGTAGACCAGAAAAGGCCTCCTGTAGGAACTGGCACCTAAACTGTACTTGGAAGGAAGGTTGTGATTCTCCAAAGCAGATATAAGGAGGAAGTACATTCTAGGCATGGGAGATGGCCTCCACAAAAGCACAGGGGTGGGAAATGGGTGATCATTAGAGAGGAATAACACATAGGACAATCTGGCTAGACCATAGAGCGTGAAGGGGAATAACGTGATACACCTGAAATGAGCCACTAACAGTTATAAATATTCAAGAATCTTTCATGTGATTAGGTTATTAAATGGTGCATATTTTAGCTTTTACAGTAAGCACCAATCCAACATGCAGCTTTGCAATGGAGGATGCATTTTCCTTCTTGGTATAATGCCTTGATGAAATATTGTTTTTAAAATATCGTTTCTCTTTCTCTTTTAGGATGGAAGTCAAAGAAAAAACAGATGAAGTTCATCTGTTAAATGATACATTAGCCAGTGAACAGAAAAAAACAAGAGAGCTTCAGTGGGCTTTGGAGAAGGAAAAAGCCAAGTTGGAACGTAGCGAGGAAAGGGAAAGAGAAGAACTTGAGGTATGCCCACCTTTGTCTTTAAATAATCCTGAACAGTAGAAGACACTTTTTAAAATAAGTTTTTATTGATGTAGTTTGGGGTTGGTTTTTTTTTTTACCTTATCATAGAGTCCCCCAGCAACCCACTCCGTCCCTGAGAACCATCTCACATAGCAAATAGTATTTTTTAAAAGAGAAAAAAAGAGGAAACATTGGTGTAACTGATTAATGCATTGAAAAAGTCTGAAAATATGTGCAAAGCTCAACACTTGAGGACCTCCCACCTCTGCAAAATGGTGGAGTGGGAGTCTTTTCTTATATCTTGTCTTTTACACCATGCTTGTTCTTTATAATGTTACAACATTCACTTCTGAATTTTTTTTTTTTGTGGTCTGTCTTTTTACATTGTTGTAGTCTTATATGTATTGTTTTCCTGGCTTTGGTAAGAAGCATTTTTGGAACGTGCCATCTAAAACTATCTTTGTGAGGCACAACAGGTTGGGTGACATCCAGTATACTGACTTATGTTATTATTTTATCTAAGCTGTATACCATCAAAAAAAGTAAAACATGTTAGTTTTATGTCAGATAAGTCACATAACAGATTTATCATTCTTGAATTAAGTTACATTATAGATAATATGATTCAGATGGCTGAGGGGAATCTGACCCTGATTACATTGCTACTAATTGAAAATAATCAGCCCTGTTTATCATGTCCAGTCCGAAAACAGAAACTGCACTACCTTGATACACGAAGATAGTCTTAGCGTATTCATTCACATCTCTCACTAAAAAAGGGAAATGAAAATTATCTTAGTAATGCAAAATTCGAGTATACTTATTTAGAAGTGTACAAGGGACCATCACACCTAGCACTGGAAAGGCACATCCAATTGCACAGCCGTGGGACCATGTTCCAGTGGTGCTGGCCCAAACCCTGTCCACCAGGATTCTAATTCCCAAAGGACCCAGAAACATCAACCCTGCCACTGTGCGTAAAGATCCACCCTGAAGCTGAACCTTCTTTATGTGTTCTCTCTCCCAATCCCAATGTGAGCCCTGGAGAGCAAGCACTATCACTTTTCATATTCCCAGCACTTAACACAGAGCCTGGCATATGGTAAGCACTTAATAAATGCTTTTCCATTTCATTTTTTTAGCTGGGGAAAGGTATATGTTCATATCCTCTTCGTGTTTCCTCCTCTTTAGAAGAATAAAAATAATATTCTCAAAAGAATTCTGTCCCACCGAGTTTTTTAACTTACATTCTTTGACTTTGAAAAATGTTTTATTAGCTCCATGGGGTGAATCATTTTAACCTGTAATTCCCAGTTCTTACATTGTCAGGATTAACACTGATCACAGTATCCTAAAAAAGATGTGTTAGTATCAGAATTGGTTCGTTTCAGAAATTAGTTAGTAATAGTATCGTGTTCCTTCATTTTATTTTATTATATACAAGGATCTAAAATATTCACTGGAAGGTCAAAAACAAAGGAATGTTCAATTAAATCAACTTTTGGAACAACAGAAGCAGCTCCTGAGTGATTTGCAACAGAAAATAGTGTCCCAGGGAACTCTGTATGATGCCCAGATATCAGAAGAGCGAAGCCAAAAGTCAGAGCTTCAAGGACTGCTTGAATCAGAGAAAATTCGAGTTCTAGAAATGCAGGAGACCCTTGAAAGGGAAAGAGAATTACATGCACAGCTTCAGGCTCATGATGACCGTGAGCAGGACAAGGCGTCCACATCAGGGGAAGACGTGCTCAAAGATCTGCAGAAACAACTGTATGAAAAGCACAACCGCATAGTAGAGCTGGTCAGTGCAATTGAAAAATATAAACTGGACTCTTTGCAAATGAGACAGCAGGTGGAGAAAGATAGACAAATCCACAGGAAGACATTGCTCACGGAACAACAGGCCAGCACTGAGGGACTAAAAAAGATACATGAGCTGCAGTCAAAAATGGAAGACCTCCATTGGCAGCTGGAAGAGAAAAGGCAACACATTTATAAATTAGAACTCGAAAGAAAGAGATTACAAGAAATTATACAGGAGCTTCAGAAGCAGGAACGAGAGAAGGAAGAAAAATTTGAAACTGGAAGAGTATCATATCAGAATCTCAATGAGGTATAGATTTTCATTTTTTATAACTATGTATCTTGAATGGAATGTTTATGTAGTTCTGTGGTCATAAAATTTATTTGATTAGATGCTGTATAACATCTGAAAATAGTGAAGCCACTGAGGCTAAGCTATTTAAATTCTTAATTAGAGTTTTATTTAAAGTGGCAGGAAATTGCTTTTGTATTTACTTAAGAAAAAAACTCAGGTGATGTACAGTAATTAATTATTGTCTTCTTGATCCTTTTGTCAGCCAACCACATGGGACTCATCCAGTGATCGAACAAGAAATTGGGTCCTCCAGCAGAAAATTGAAGGAACTGAGAAAAAAGAATCAAGTTATCCCCCATTGATTGAGATGAATGGGGGTGTAACGACTGAGGATATCCGTGAACTAGAGACCATTAGACAAAAGCTGCAGCTCATATCATCGAAACTACAGCAGCTGGCCCACAAAACCTCTAGCAGGTGTGAGAAACCTTCTTGACTTTCCAAGAAGGGATATGTAAGCCAGATAATGTCAGATACTGTTGCTTATTAAGATCCAACCAATATGAAATTCACCATTTTTACATTGTCATATCTGAATAGTGAAACAGTTTTTACTTGTCTGAAAAAAACCTGTTTTTTTGAGCTTGTATTTTTTTTCCCAACTCTCCTTTAATAACATCTGGCATTTAAGGTTAAGAAATGTAGTACAATTAAAAATAAATTATGTAAAGCTTTAGTCTAGAGGAAAAGTGTGAGAAGGGAGTATTATGTAAAGAAGAGTTTTAGTTTTGATTGTTGTATCTACAGAGTTTAAGACCCCAAATTAGTAGAATTAAACCATGAGGATTTTTTTTTTTTTATTACAGGTTACAGTTTGAACCAGCAGATGATGAAGATTTTATTTGGGTCCAGAAAAATATTGATCATGTTCTTTTACAATTACAAAAGTTTACTGGATTATCCCAGCAAGAGGAGGTGAGAAATTTTTAGCCATTTTTAAAGCCATATGGACTTTAGTTTTGTCAGAAAATTTTAGGAACCTTTTGAAAGTTGCAGTGTAATCCATCCCTAAAAACTTTTACCTTTTGATGTGTTTTTCAATACATTACCTCTCAGTGTTTCTTCTAACAAACAGTGGAGGAACAGCAAAGATTTGCAGGAGAGCCTCCTAGTGCTAGTTGTCTTTATGTAATTTCCCTTTTCATTCACTGTATGAAACAGAATAATTCTGTGGCCATTCACATTGGGCAGAGAATGGACTTTATGCTTGGCCCCTTGAATCTTTGCCTCTCATCCTTTGCTTTCCTGCTAGGATAGCTTTGGGAGATTTTAATCATGAGCATGTGAAGAGAACGGAGGTGAAACTTAAAGCCATCTGTTTTGTTATTTGTTATTGAATCATTTAAAAAGTTTAATTTGGGATAATGATGAAAGAAACTAGCGGCTAAGGTTTAGAATGGTCTGAAGCTCATTTATTCTCTCTCTTCTTCGTGAACATGGATCATTGAGAGCAAGCACCTTCTCCCTGTATGGAACTTTACATTGCACAATCTATCCTTCTCTCTCACAAAATACAGTAGTTTCCTTGTTTATGGAATAGCCGAGCTGCAGTAAGACTTTAAACTGCTCCCAAGAATATGACCGTGCATTGTATTTGTGTTACTATTTTAAAATTTTGTGGATCTGATTTCACTTCACTTTTTTTTTCTTTTCTAGCCCACTTTGGTATCACCAGGCATTTCCTGTAGCTCATTGACTGAAAGGTTACTGAGACAAAATGCTGAACTGACAGGACATATCAGCCGGCTGACTGAGGAAAAGAATGATTTGAGAAATGTGGTTATGAAGCTGGAAGAGGAGATCAGGTGGTTTCGACAGGCAGGACCTTGTGGAGACTATGTATGTCTTTTGTCAGTGTTTGTTTATTTAGAAACATTGCAAGTTGTATTTTCTGATGGCACATTGTGAGCCTTAATCTTTGTCTTTCTACACTGTACAGGTACAATTTCTTTTTTTTTTTTTTTTTTGAGAGGAGGGGGTCCAGATAAGTGATTTCTTTAGTTTAGGGAGTTTCCATTGAGGAACTTCTTCAGATTGTCACTGTTTTTGTAATTTATAGTATGAAAGAGGTATCTGGTTGGTTCCTCCTAAAACCTTCATTTTAAGAAGGAAACCCAGGTCCACCAGGTCTTCGTTGTTCTCCAGGCTGCATGTACGGCCAACTTATCTCCACTGTACTTTCTCTAACCATCCTCCTGCAAAGGGTACCTTGACTCTACCCTCTTTTCAGCTTCCTTTATGTGTTATCTTCACCAATTAAAACATAAGCTCCTTGAGGGCAGGAATTATCTTTTTTCTGCTTGTATTTGTTTTCCAGAGCTTACTATAGCACAGTAGTAAGCACTTAAATAAGTGTTGGTTTACTTGATTTGCCTATAGGTGATGTAGTATGTGGTAGAGGCAGGCCTAGAAGGAACCTAGGCCAATACTCTTTCTTCTTCCTTAGCATACATACACTGCATAAACAGATACTTTTATCACACATAAGAAGAAAATGAAGCTCCTAAATAAAGTATCATGTCAATTCTAGTGAAAATTGCTTTTTTTTTTTAAATGAAAAAACAAACAAACAGGAAAATAAAATATTAGTACCTACAGTGATATTTTAATCAAAGACAAGAATTAAAAAGTCAACCTGACAAATATTAGAGGCCTATTGTCTTTCTGGGAGCACCTGTCTAGTACATGATAGAAAACCTCCCAAGATTTGGATAGTCACTTCAGGTGGTTTTGAGGTGTATATAAACAGTGAAAGGTAGAACCAATTTAAATAAAGCTTGGCAAGGGATCCAGCTAAGCAAAATCACCCCAAGGATTTTTAAGGATGAAAAAGAGCATGAACAACCAACAGAAGAAAAATGGAAAAGATCTGCAAAGATTCTTTTAACGAACTGCTTTCTGCATCAAGAAAAGTAGAGACACATCTAATGTCTAATCTAATGTCCTAATCCTAGAAGTGCTTGTCAAGAGGGTAGAAATGAGAGTAAAAAGAACAAAAGCAGGAACAGCAGCAGCTGGGCTGGACAAAGAACCCGTAGAAGAGATTCATGCAAGAGACAGCACAACTCCAACAGAGAAGGCATTTGAAGGCAGAGGGAGATATCAAACTTAAAGGGGGGGAATCATAAACTAGAAGCAAAATTTCACAGTGGGTTGTATATTTACCATCACAGTTGAAGAGGTATTCCCTGGGATGGCGAAATCTTCCAGATACTCCTCTTTGCAGATGACCTTGTGCTGGCTGCTTCAAGAAGTGGAACATGGCAGACCATCCTAGAAGAGATCTACAACCCCTCAAGAGTTTGGCCTGACTGTCCACGTAGGAAAGATCACGCATTTTTGGAGTACGACTTTAATGGAGAATAAAAATGCACAAGAGTCAAGCAGACGAAAAACGTCCGTGACCCAGCTTATCACATGCAATTAAATGGAGAACCTAAAGAGCTCTCTGTCTTACCTGTCTTTCAACTTATCTGTATCTGTCTACGTAGGTGGATAAAGATATATCAGTAGAGAGTTGGATCAGTAGATCAACCAGTCGATCTCCTAGGCAGACAGTACAAATGATTATCAAGTTAGGCCCAGAATTAAGCAGAAGTAATCAAGTGCCCTGGAATGCCTTTAAGAAATTACAAAGTTCTATTAATAATTCTGAACTCTTACTATAAACAGAAGCTCATCTTTTAATACTAATATTCTACAGTGTTGTAGTATAACTGTGAGTCATGGAACACTGCAGTCCCTGAAGAATTTAAAAATTAGTACAACAAAGGGCAAGGGAAAGATAACATGTTGGATGTGAGACGAGCCACAAAAAAATATAACAAATAAGAGCTGGAATCAAGGCTCTCATTAGGAAAATTTATGATCAGAAAAGAAGATGAGTTGGTCCTATGAGAGTAACTGGTAGAAGACCCGAGCGTTCTCCTTGTATCCTCACAATGTCAAGAAAGAGGAAAAGCCCCCCGCTCACTCATTGTGGCAAACTCATGAAAGATATGGCTAAGGATTAGACAAGATGGGCATTTATGGATGTGCCAAGATCTGAATCCGTAGAGAGAATATACAAATTGATGAGATCACATTTGGATATGATGAATTTATTTGATTGCATAAAAATAACTCTCAGAAACATACAATGATTAGGCACAACTATGTTAATGATGCATTTTTGGAGTATGTCTTTAATGGAGAATAAAAATGCACAAGAGTCAAATTTTGGTCAAGGATATGAATGGATGTTTTGCAGAAGAGGAAACAAATTGTAAACTAACTTTGAAAGATTGAAAAATCTCACTATTAAGCAAAGAAAATCAAATGGACACATTTCTGGAATACCTTCCTATGAGGTAGGGAAAAGAGCCCTAGATTTGCAGGCAGAGACATGGATAGAGCACCAGGCTTGGAGACAGAAAGATTTGAGTTCAAATCCAGCCTCAGATACTTATTAATTGTGTAACCCTGGGCAAGTCTCTTAACCCCTATTTGCCTCAGTTCCTCATCTGTAAAATGGGGATACACCGGAGAAGGAAATGGCAAACCACTCCAGTATCCACCTTCAGAAGTCGATGGGGTCACATAGAGTCAGACTCGCCTGAGTGACTAAACAGCATCAACAAATGACCTTAGGCAAGTCACTTGACTTATTTGGGATTCAGTTTACTCCATAAAATGAGGGGTTTATAAGAATAATCATTAAGGTCTTTTCATCTCTTAAGTCCTATGATGTTTGAGTTGGCAAAAATAAATAAAAATTACAAAATTCAGCTTTTGCTGGGATGTGAGGAAACTGGTATACCAGTAGATGACTAGCAGCACAGAAGGTTATAATTTGTTTTAAGAGCCATCAGGCGGCATACCAGAACAGTCACAAAACTGATCACACCCTTTGGCCCTGCAAGCATTCTCTTGCTGATATATCTTGAGGAATTCATTTTTTATAACTATACAGAATGTGTTATTTATAATAGTAAACATCTGGCAGCATTATAAAAGCCCAGTAGTTGGGATGTGGCTGAAAATTTTGAGTGGTGTATGAATGGTTGCCCTGAGGAAGGTCGCACCCAGCTCACAGAGTCATTGTGAAGATCAAATGAAATAATATTTGTAAAATAAGACTTAACACTTTGCCTGGTACATAGGAGATACTGTAAAATTGCCTATTTACCCCCCCATATTAAAAATGACAGAGAAAAGGAATATGTAAAGAGCCATAAGAAAGAAATCATTTTGAAAAATACCTTAAGTATATTATTCATTGTGAATAACTTAAATATTCAATAGAAATTTTTATGGAAAGCCTAGGAGACTGATAATAAAAATAATTTAATGAAAAACTACTTAATATGAGGAAAAGGGGTAAAAGTCAGTGAATAAGATTTGTTCTCTCTACAGTCTACTCGCCATTCATTCAATCATGGTACTAACATTGAAGCAGTTATAGCTTCTGAGAAGGAAATCTGGAACAGAGAAAAGCTGGCTCTCCAGAAGTCCCTGAGACGGGCTGAAGCCGAGGTATGCAGACTGAAGGCTGAGCTAAGAAACGAAGCTTTGTTGCAAGACTTGAACCCCAGCTCAGAAAATGCCATCTTAAAGGTAGGGGGTTTGGTTGTGTTGTGTTGTGTTAATGCTCAGTGCCCTTGATCCTATTCCTTTTTTTCTCCTTTGTGACTTTGCTTTATCGGTAATCCCTTCTTATGAATCTTCATTTGCTCCCTGTCTGCTCAATCCTTCCTTTCAAAACGCAAACATGTTCAGGTCTCTCCAGTATTAAAAAACAAACAAAAAACCCTCCTTGGACTCCCTTAAGATATCTTCCTATATCAGACTCCCCCTTACTGATCAGAAATCTACAAAGAGGAGTCTGTACATACTGTTTCTATTTATTTACCTACCTTCAGGAAAGCCTTTTCCAAGATCAATAACAACTTTTTTTCAATCATTAAATCCAATGTCCTTTTTCATTCTTTATCATTATTACGTCCTTAACAGGGTTTGTTGGATGAAAGGGGCTTTGTCACCTCAAAAGTGCTATAAAGATGTTTTTTACTGTCATTACAACAACGGGCACCCTTCTTGATGCCGCCTTAGACTTCTGGGACACTGCAGTCTTATCATTCTCTTCCTGCCTCACAGAATCTCAAAAGGCATCTAGCTTAATCCAGAGTCGAATAAGAATCCTCTATCAGCCTTTACACTGGAGAACTATTCTGATCAGTATTTGTTTGAAGACCTCTAATGAGAGGAGACCCACTACTTCCCAAGGGAATCTGTTCCACTTTTATATTGCTCTAATTTTTAGGAAGTTGTTCCTGAAATCAATTCCAACTGTTTTTATTCACTTCCACTCATTGCTTCTAATACTACCCTCTGTGGCCAAGCAGAACAAATCCAACCCCTCTTCCATGATAGCTCTTCAGGTATTTAAAGTTATTTAGATATTTAAAGGGGTGTGTGTGTGTGTGTGTGTGTGTGTGTGTGTGTGTGTGTGTGTGTAAATATATGTAAAGACATCTATTATGTCTGCCCTAAATCTCTTTTTTCAGGCAAAATATTTTCAGTTCCTTTAATTAAGCCTCATATGGTGTGATCTCAAAGCCTTTCAGCATTCTGGTCATCCTCCTCTGGACACTTTTCACGTGGTTAATGTCCATACCAAAATGCAGCATCCATAGGAAACACAGTACTCAGGATTGGGTGTAGCCAGGGCAGAGTCCAGTGATGCTATTTCTTCCCTAGTCTTGGAATGTTATGGCTGTCTTTATGTAACCTAAATTTGTATTAGCTTTTTTGGCATCCATATCACAATGTTGACTCTGACTAGATTTTCAGGCAACTAAAATTCCCATGTGTTTTTCAAACAAACTACTTTCTAGCCATAGTTCCTCCATCTTGTACTTGTCAGGTTGTTTTTTGAACTCACATGTTGGATTTTACATTTTTTCCCTATTAAATTCCATTATATGATAACCAACCCAACATTTTAGCCTGTTGAGACATTTTTGAATCCTATCCAGAGGACAGGATTCTGTAATCTAATGTTAGCTATCCTTCCTATGTTTATGTCATCTGCATGCCAATGACGCTTTAATCCAAGTCATTGATAAAAATGTCAGCAAGAATAAGACCAAACACAAATCTCCAAAACATTACACTAGAGACCTTCTAAGTTGAAGTCAAAGCTGTTAATGAATATTTTGGGAGCCTATCTAGTCATTCAACTAGTTCTCAGTCTGCCTAACCGTGCTGTTGTCTAACCTTTATCTCTTCATCTCTTCCCTAAGAACCGTTGCAAGACTTTGTGCAGTGCTTTGCCAAAAATCTAGATACGGCATTCCCTTGGTTTACCAGTCTTGGAACCACATCAAAAAAGGAAGTTAGGTTAGCGTGGCATCCCTGATCTTGATGGAGCCAGGCCGAATTTTTTGTGATCACAAGATTCCTTTTCTATATGTCCACTAACTATCCTTTTAATAATCTCTTCTAGAATTTTGCGAAGTATTAATGTTAACTTAACCGGTCATTAGTTTGCAGATCCTTTTCTCTTCCCCTTTATGAAAATTGGTACATTCGCCCTCTCTAGTCATTCAATCAACAAGCATTTGTTAAAGGTCTTTCATGTATTGGGCACCTTGCCAGGCTCTGGAGAGACAGATATACCTCTCCCATTCTACACATTCTTTCAGACATCCCCAACAGTGGCTCAGGAATCACATCCATCAATTGCTTCAGTACTCTGAACTATATAGCTTGTTCCAGGACTAGAGACTTGAACTCATCAAGGGGTTGAAAGTGTTCTCATACTAGTAGCCTTACTTTACTTGGGTTTCAACTCCCCATCAGCTATTTTTGTTCTTTCCTGTCCAATCCAAAGATCGTTATCCTTGGCAGCAAGAACAAATTCAGAATATGAGTTGAACATCCATCATTGTCATCCTACATACTCCAGGTACTTGTCCTATCTCTCCTTTGAACATCCTCTTTTCTTTCATTATATCTGTAAAAAAAAAAAAATCCTTAGTTTTTCCTATAAGCTTTAACAATTCTGATGCTGTGGATGATAATGATTTGTATTCATTCTCTGTTGAGTACCTTTGCTTCCATTTTCTGTTTCTGCCTTTTTAAAGATTTCATTTGGCAAATAAATTCTTAGCAAACCACATAGGTAATCTCTTTAGGAATTTTCTCTTTTCTTCTTTGTCCGAATTGTTTCTCTTTGTCTTAAGAATTTCATTCTTGAAAGTTTCTCATCTTTACTGTGGCTGACTTCCCCAATGATTGTGTGGCCTGCGGGCATGCGCAGCGCAAATGTACATGCTTTGTGTTCAGCATCCAGGCTGCAGTGAAGTGCCATGCAACATGCCGTGCAGCACGGATGGGCAAGCCACACGCTGCCAGAAACACCGGATTCATTACGCTCTTGGTTTTTAATTAACTTTTGGTCGTTGTGTGTTCAGAAACCTTTTACTGTCGCCAGACTTTTCACAACGCAGTATGGGGTTGCGACCCACAGTTTAAAAAGCACTGGTCTATAGCTTACTCCAGGGACAATATGACTTCTGTTTAGTTTGTTTCTGTTTGCCGTTTTTACCCAAAGCTCTCTACTGTGCTTCCCCCACCTCTGGGTCCTGGATTTCCTCACAAAATACACCTTCTTAATATATAGTGATATTCCATCCCTCATCCTCTCCTCTACCCTTATATTCTTTTTGAGTAAGGTAGGTGTTATTCAGAGTCATAGACTAGTTATGGATCCTGTCCCCCCGTATTTCAGTAATACCTTTTGTGTGGGACAACGGCCACACTAGAATTAAAAGTTCGGAGGCTGAGTCAGAGATCAAAAAAGGTCTTATTCTTTCTCATGAGAAAGGGCACAGCCCTCATTGCTAGAGCAGTGATGGGACAGCCAGAGAGTACACCTGCTGGCTGTGAGAAGCAAAGTTTTATAGCCCTAATGCCATATTCCCTCCCCATTTCTGAACCCTTCTTCCCATTCCCTGGGTTTCAGGGTGCACAATCTAAACGCGGCTTTCTAAGACCCTTATTTGGAAATATTTGCCTAGAGACAAAGAATCAGGAGGACTTCTGATAACCATTTAGAAGTTCTGCCTAAAGACAAAGAATCAGGAGGACTTTTGATAACCATTTAGAAGTCCCGCCTAGAGACAGATAAGCCGGAAGCCCTTGGCAGTTAAACTAGCAGTTTTTACCTTGCTAGAGGAATTAGAGCACAGGTTAATGTTTGCAGATTCATCAAGTTTTACTGCTTTGGGGGTACAAAGGGGATTTACGAGTTTTAGTACTGAGGAAACTTCATGTATCTCACACACTTTGAAATCAGAATTACTTCTTTGCAACAGGATTTCTAGTTCACTTTGCTGGTTACCAGTAATTTGTGAAGTAGTGGTAGACATCTGAGGCCATAGGTTTCATTGCTGGCTCCTTATTGGCTATTTTTCTTCCTTCCCTGTAGCTCTTTTCTGTCTAGCTTAATACACATATCTGGATGATTTTCTCATTCCCCTTTCCTTTTCAGTTTAAAGCCCTTTTGATTGGATTTGCAAGACTCCTAGCAGATATATTTTTGCCAGTCATTTCTAAGGCCTTCTACATTCCTATTCAGGAGCCCACCATTTCTCTATTTCAGCACTGGTCCCAGAAATCCAAACTGCATTCTCAGAAACCATCTTATTAATCAGCTGTTAAATTACCTTCCTTCTCTGTCTCCTTTACCAGAGCCCCATCGACTTTCTATTTATTTCTTAAACCTGTATGACCCTCTAGGTGTTCTGTCCTTGGCCCTTTTCTCTTCATTCTGTATATCACCTCCCTAATTCTATCCCATCTCCCGTCCCCCCTTCACACTCTGATTGTGAGTGACCCTTATCTACTCAAAAGCCTGCAGTGATTGCCTCTTGCCCATAAATAAAGCATAAAGTCCTTATTGTAGACTTCAGAGCCCTTCGTCATCTGGCCATCACCCACCTGTCCAGCTGTTTCCCCTTTGATATTCTGTGTGATCTCCATCCCGTGTTCTCCTCCTCCTCCCCTCACTTGCAGAGGCCACCTTTTCTTCAGCTCACAGAGAAAAAGTGATGACTGTCTCTTCAAATTTGCCATAGAATACCTTGTCCCATTTGGTCCTTATGACAGCCTTCTAAGTTAGTGCTGTAGGTCGTGTCCTCCCCATTTTAGAGGATCAGTTAGCTCAGGCTTAGGGGAGGACAGTGGTCACACAGCTAGTATGCCTGGGAGGGCATAGTCAAACACAGGCCCCTCCTGTTTTCAAGGTCAGCCCTCTCTCCCCACTGCTAGATTGTAAGCTTCTTTCTCCACTCTATAACAGCGATTTACAAGAATGCTTTACATGATTCATTAATACTTTTTCCCTCTCCTTCCTTTTTTAAATTTAGAGAGTTTATGGCAAATATTTGAGAGCAGAAAGTTTTCGGAAAGCTCTCATCTATCAGAAGAACTACCTGCTGCTCTTACTTGGTGGGTTCCAAGAATGTGAAGATGCTACTCTGGCCCTCATTGCACGAATGGGAGGGCAGCCCTCCTGTACCGACCTAGCAGCCATCACAAACCAGTCCAAAGGTTTCACCAGGTTTCGATCAGCCGTTAGAGTGTCTATTGCAATTTCAAGGTAAAGTACTTCAAAAGAAAAAAAAACTGCATCAGCTCTCTGAAAGTTGAAGCATTTAGAAATAAGTCTCTCCTTTTCTTTGCTATCCATATGCATTCATTGTTGTAACACTTGCCACCCCTAACATTGAGATACTTGTTTCTTCCTGTGTCTAGTAGTTGCCTCCCACTGGTTCTTGTGGTTAATCCAGTATAGATTGCCTTTTTCCCCCTAGAAATAGTCTACTTGTTAAATAACATTATGAACTAGATGATTTTTATTTTTTTGTTTTTTTGCCAATGCTGTGATCTTAACCCTAGTTTTCAGAGTCCCTAATAATCTAGCTATAGCTCACCAGTATTCCGTGTGATCTCCATCCCACATTCTCCTCCTGCCCTCTTCTGTCCCAAGCTGTCATGCTCATGCTGTTATTAAGCCTGAAAAGAAACAGTGACCTCCCAATGGGCAACTCCTTGTCCCCCTGTAGATCTGCACCTTCTTTGGAACCTAGCCTCAGAGAGGTGGCTGCCAGCCCCAAGAGGCCAAAGGCCTTGTCTGGTATGTTTCAGAGGCAGGGCTTGAAGCCAGGCTTCCACACCCCAAGCCGACTCTCTGTCTACCACAGCATGATGCTTCTCATAAGAGAAGAGAAGCAAAAGAAGCTGCAGATTTCAGGAGATGCATAGAGAGGTGCCCACCAGGCAGCCCAGACCAGCATCCATTGCTAATCACAACTCTGGTTGGGACAGGCATTAAAGTCTCACAGTGACTAACAGAGATTTGGAGCTTTAGACAAAAAAGCTTTATTCCTTTTGATGGGGTTGGGATCTGGGCCTCAGAAAGGAAAAACCCTGGCCTTTCCCACGTGGCCAAATCTCTGGCGTTGCCCTAAGACTATCATCCGGTCAACTGGCCTTTCACTGTGGCAACACCCAATCTCCCCTCCATTGTCTTGCCTTCCTATGGCCCCAGGCCACGTCCCACCCTTGGTAATTCTATTACCCCATGGACTAATTGGCCATTCCTGGATCCCTCCCACAGACTTTCTGTACATAAGGTCCATCTCATCTCCATTAAGATGCTCAGATTCCTAAAATCTAGCCACTGGTCAGATTCTTATAACCTAGCCAATAGCTTACTAATGTTCAGACTCCTTAAGAGTCTGCCCAATATGACGGATGTTCTAATAAACCTTGTCTTTGGCTGAGAGAAGGCTTTTGGTCAAATTCTTTCAGGCAGGACCCGTGTATTGTGATTTGGGGTCCCAGCACCCCTGAACCCCTAAACCACATCACTTTGAGCCCCTTCTTAGCTAAGACCTTGGCTAGTCTAGTTGGGTCTCCTTGTGACTCATGCATGAGAATTATCTGCTTCACCATCCATTCCACTTACCCTCTCCTTCCTCCCTCCCCCTTCCCACCAACTCCCAGTATTTACAAGCTGGCCTTCCCCCTGTTTCTTGGCCAAGCTGTTTCTTGAAGGGCCTTTACTCCCGTTAAAGTTTATTACTTTGTAGTCTCCCCTCTGTTATTTCTTTAAAGTAATAAAGTTACTTTGAACATAACAAAAAAAGAGAGTTATAATAGAAAGAGCATTGGAATAGGATTAAGGATACCTGTAATCTAAGCCCAGCTGGACAAGATAACCTTTGGGGGCCTCAGCTTCCTGCTCTGTATAAAATGGAAGCTTTTCTCTAAATTTCTATGACTTTAAAAAAATTATTAAACAGAATAATAGCTTCTTCAAAATGACTATTTTATATTTGATCCAGCTCCATAGTCTGTTAAGGATGAAAGGGACTTTCACTAGTCCAGCCCACTCCTTTTGTAGTTGATGAAAATGAAGCCCAGAAAGTCGAAGTCATTTGCCTTTGTCCTGGTGACCGAGCCAGTACTGGAACCCAGCCCTCTTAATTAACTCTCCAACCTGTTTTTTTTCCAGGAACATAAATAGAAATTGCTTCGATTGCAGTGTTTTATGCCTCTTATCTGTGTGTGTGTCCTTACTCCCTCATTTCTAGACCAGTGTGGTGCTGTTTCCTAGACTCAGAGCAGGGGCAGATTAATGCACATTTGGGAATGACTCATTTCGACAGAAATAGGAGTGAGACTAGTTACCCTGAAGGTAAATGAAGAGCTCCCCTGCCCTGCGCCACCTCCTCCTCGCAGGGCTCCCCCGGGCCAGAGGAATGCCGGCTTCTCAGCTTTGGCTTCTTCGTGAGCAGTGACTGTCAGTGACCCTTAAGGGGCCCACACCTCCACATGGAGCCTGCTTTCACTTTGCCCCTTTGATTCCCCTTTATTGTCTGTTCTTTCTTCTCTTGTATTTTCCAGCTTGTCCTCTTTCATTGTTTCTCCTTTCTTCTTTGCATTTCCTCTAACCTATGCTCCTATTTCCCATTTTTCTTCTCTTTCCCTGAGTTCCTTGTTCACTCTTATCTATTTTCCAGGTATAACACTCAGAAAAACAAGAACAGAAAACCTTTTTTTCTGCTCATGGAGAAAGGGTGGCAGATAGTGGGGGCGGTAGAGATGCTACCTGGGGAGGACAGGTGCCCATGATCTGGGCCCCTCTTTTGTCCTTTTGTGAAGACTTGCATAATAAACCAGTGAACATATGTGCGAATAAAGTAAAGGCTATATTAATGTATAATTATACTGAAACTTAGATGTGATTTTAAATTTTTGTATACTAAGTTTGCTTTTAAGCTAACTTGTCTCTGGTCTTGGGCTGTATAATGACATTTTGTATTTAATTTTTTTCTGACTATTTTAGAATGAAGTTCTTGGTTCGCAGATGGCATCGGGTAACAGGCTCTTGTTCCATTAATATTAATAGGGATGGCTTTGGACAGAATCCAGGTAAAAATGAAACAAAACAAGCTTCCTTGTGGTTCTTCCAAATTACTGTTTTATGAGACTAAATAAAGAAGCACAAATCTGACGACTGTCTTCAGATAAGCTTTGAAACCTGCAGCAGAGGTTTTGTCAGGAGAAAAGGCCAGCTAGGGCTGCAGACCACTGGCTGGACAGGAAAAGAAAGGAGGAACTGGTGTGCCACCATCTCCTGAGCACACGGAGGGCTCTGTGGGGCTTGTTTCTCCTGGCTACTGGGAGCAGTGCCCAGAAGTCAGCTCAGTGTCCACTCCTTGGCCTGCTGGCCTCTTTTAAGGCAGTGTCCATGGGTTGTATAATTGAATACTTGTCTACACTTGGTGTAGAAGTTGCTTATTAACACCAGTCCATGTTTCTTGTTTAGTATTCATGATGACCCCCATATCACTCCTCGTACCTAGAAAGGAGTCTTCTAACCCAGAATCTTCATTTTCCCTTGAAATACTGAGTAAAAAGGACTGAAAAGGCAGTAGACTTTAAAAAGACAGATCACTTTGAGCTGAAAGTCTGCATCACTCAGTGTGAAGGAATGGAATTTACCTCCAGCTTAAAAGCGCTGGAAAGCCATGTGGCGAGGCCCTGGAAGTCAGGAACCCAGGCAGGGGGGCCTGGTCCTGTCCACAGCATCGACTTACTCTGCCATTCCAAGAAAATGTCATTGTCTGCATAAAAAGTGGGTGGACCAGATGATCGGTAAGCTCCCAAAGTGTGTGACCCTCTGGTCTCTAATCCTAAGCAAGCAACAAAGACAAGTTCTCAGTTAAGAGTGGGGAACACTTGTATCTCAGTGTAAATAATGCATTTGAAGGCCAAATGATTCTTCTTACCACTGCTTCCCTCCATTCATAATTGAAAATAGAAAAGAGATTTTTCCATAATGATTAAGTATAGTGTTAGCTTTGGTAGTCTTATCTCATAGGATTTTTTAAAAGAGGTATTTCTTTTCTATACAAAGGTACGTTTTGGGTCACTTTAGGCACAGAAAAAAGTGATCCATTTTATCCTTCTCCTGGCGGGCTGGAGCTGTGTGGAGAACAGAGACATTCCTCTTACCGGTCAAGATCCGATTTGGACTGCCCCAGGTCTCCTTTACACTTTCAGCACAGGTAAGACGATGATAAAATCTGCCTCAAATAATTAGTAAGTTTATTCCGCTTGAACAGAAAAGGCTGATAACAGGACTTGGCAAAAATATTGCTTTTCAGGCAAGAGTCTGTTTACCATTTTCTTGAAAAGCCACAGCTCCCTGTTTCTCTCCACTTGTTTCCTCCCATATATTGAAAGGCAAATTCCCTTTCGTCCTTGTAATTTATGCTTTTTAAAGCACCTTAGTTATTCCATCTGCTGGCTCTCAGAAGCAGCGATTTGTCTGAACAACATGATCGCTGCTTCCTCTCTCATCTTTGTGTAGGGGTGATGGGGGTTCTCCAAGATTAGGCCACGGAAAGCACAGGCTTTGGCAGATTCTGCCAGGGGACAAGGACAAATCCTTGTCCTTCATCTCAACTGACCCGGGTAATTTGTGGTACATAAAACTCAGGAGACTTATTACTGTGGTTTAGCCTCTGGTACCTCCCCCCCCCCCCCCCCCCAAAAAAAAGGTCATTGAGGGAGCTGGTTTTCATTTATTGCTTTCTTTGGACCCAACAGTGCAGCTACTGTTTGTAGACTTTAAGCTACAATGATAGTTGCCTACCCATCAAAAGCTTATGATCTATAGGTACAGACAAGACTCAGGAAAACATAGGGAAGCATGAACATGAAAGAAATGTTTACATGTTCCTTCTGTATCAGCCTTTTAAAATCAGAGGGTGGGAGGGTCCCATTTCTGTTACAAGTCCTTTGGAAGTGGTGGGGGACAGGTAACAAGGCATGCGGCCAGCCTCTTGACAGCTTTGATTACCTTCCAAAATATTTTTTTTTTTTTACAATTTCCCGCATAACTATTCATATAATATCTAGGCCTTTGTTCTGGATCTTATCCCACAGGTACCAAGGCCCCACTGCTGACCTAAATCCTGGATCCCTCGCATGTTCTCAACTTCAGAATTATGATCCTGACCGAGCACTGACAGATTATATCAGTCGGTTAGAAGCACTGCAGAGGAGACTTGGAAATGTACAGTCAGGTATACTCAGCTGACTTTTCTAACAGCAAAGTGTCTGTGTAATTGCCAGACTTTCTGACCAAAACCTAAGAAAGCCTCACTCATACTATCCTGAGTCCAGCTCCAGAAGAGACCTTAGAGGTCATCAAGTCCAGCCCCACTCACCTTAGAGATGAGGAAATGGAGGCCCAGGGTAGTTGGGTGACTTGCCTAGGAGCTACAGAGTTAATGACTGAGGTGGCGGATGAACCCAGGGCTTTTGGATCCCAAGGCCAGTGCCCTAGCTTCTCCTGCATGCTGCTTTAATTTAGAGAAGAACTAGAATAACTCTTGGCAATGGAACTCCAATCTATGAAGCACAAAAAAAAAGAATGAAAATAAATTACTTCTACAAAACATAGTCTATAATATGTGAATTTCAGTCATAAAATATTAATATGCACACCCCAGAATTTGAATATGTGTGTACATCCAGCTTAGGGTAGGGCAGTGGTCTCCAAGGTGGGGATATGGCATGACCCCATCCAGAGGGTGGGGGGATGTGTTACATCCTCCCCTCCCCATGACATCCCCCCTTCTGAGCTGGGCATTGACCTCTCGGGGCAGTAATAACCTACGTGTTACTTAAGCATCTTCAGCTATGGCTGTGTATATAACATTAGAAAAGTCTACTCTCCCCATAGTGTGCTTCACCTTGACCTCCAGGTTACTTTGTGACTTTGGCAGGGCCTTGTCAGGGGATGAGTTTGCTGTTTCAGAGCATTGACCTGTGAGAACCTGGCCCTCCTCCCCCCATGTCTTTTTATTCTTGATGAGATAGAGTGAGTCACGTCAGGTGACAAGACTTGGAAAAATTGCATTCTGCATTACAGATCTCTTTATCTTCCCCCTCCCCCCCCAAAAAACCTTTCTTCTTATCTTTTCTCTTCCTATATTTGAAGAGGCCCCACCAGCCTTCCAGGGGACCAGGGTCACAAGCTCCATGTCACCCCATTGCCAGACAGTTGCCAGATCTTGTCACATCTCATCCCCCAACGGCTCTCTGATCTGCCCTCTTCTCTTGAGGCTCCCTACTTCATCATTTCCCTACTCTCCAATCCATCCTCCACTCAGCTGCCAAAACAATTTTCCTAAAGCACAGGTCTCATCGTGTCATCTTCTTATTACTTATTAATATCTGTTTTATGTGCACTTCACAGTGTGCCTCATTTTTAGCATTGTAGTATCGTGGAGGTAGGACGGTGGCCACTGGACCTGTGACTTCATTGGCATGATGAGGCCTCTCTCTTTAGCAGTGTTGGAGTTGTTTAGAGCATTGACAAGTTAGATGAGTAGATGATAGTGCCCGGGCACACGCAGTCGTGTATGTCCGAGGCGGGACGTGGAGCCACGGCCTCCCAGCTCTGAGGCAGCTCTCTATCTGCTAGACCATGCCACCTCTAACTACCGGAATATAAATTATAAATTAGTAAATACACATGGGCGCTGGTGCGCTCAGACATTTTTACCAACGGGGGTGCATCATTGTAAAAGTCTGGAGATGCCAGGTGTGGCAAACACCATATCTGAGGTCAGGAAGACTTGGGCTCCTCCTGATGTGGGATCCTGGGCCAGCCATTGGCCCTCTTCTTATCCACAGTTTGCCCATCTGCAAAATGAGGATAACGATAGCCCCAACCTCACATAGCAGATCTTAAAGTGCTCTTTAAACATTGATTACTATTGCCCCATCATAGTAGGATCCAAAAACAGCCCTAGTCTATCTTCTTCATGTCCTTGGGCTCTGGCAGAAGCTGCTTCTTCCCTTAATCTCTTCTTACTCCTTTTATTCTTTCTTCCCATCTCTTCTTTTCTTCTTGTTCCATCCCTCTAAGCTTGCCCTGTCTTTCACTTGATGTCCATCAGAAAACATTTATAAAGCATGTCACTGTACTGAACAGTGAAGAGACAAAAGGACAGTCCCTACCCCCCAAAGCAGTTACAGTCTGATATGGGAATGAGGCCACAGCACATGTAATTACAGATCTCTACACCCACACACACACACAACATAACACATTACAGAGGTACAAACCAAAGTGCAGAGACTGTCTGGCAGAATTCTGGTCATTAGCCAAAAGATTCAGGAAAGGTTTCCTGAAAAGGTGACATTTGAGTTGTACCTTAAATGAATAGAAACCCAGACAGAGGGGAAGGTAAGCAAGCACTTTGCAGAAATGAGGAGCAGCGTGGGCAAAGAGTAAATGGTGAAGTGAGAAGAGGAGGACAGTTGGCCTGGTGTTGGACGTGAGGACTGGTGGGTAGCAGTATGGTATTCAGATGGAGGTGTCCTACGGGCAGCTGTGTTTGGGGAAAGGCTCAGGGCCCAGTCTGAGTAGAGGTGGTTGTCAGAGTGGTGGTAGACATGTGAACAAGCCTTCTCAGAGTAATCCTGTGAGCACATAAAACACAATACATAAGATAACAAGGTACCTGTTCTGCCCCAAGGTTAAGAATCCCTGATGTGGAGGGAGAAGAGGACCTAGGTCAAGAGAAGAAGGAGGAGCCTTTAGAAGCAAAATAGGGGTAGCGAGCGGGCATCCCTGAAGCTGAGGAAGGAGAGCATCAGAAGGTGCTGTTTGAGGGGCGGCTACTGCAGAGGTCCCCACCTACCCAGGCTCTGTTGGGTTCGTTGCTGCCTCAACCTTACCAACCAGAGAAATGGGGCATTTGCCAAAGTAAAACAAATTTAGTGGATAGAGCTCCAGCCCCAAGACTGAGAACCTGAGTTCAAATATGGCCTCAGACACTTGACACTTAACTAGCTGTGTGACCCTGGGCAAGTCACTTAACCCCGATTGCCTTACCAAAAAGCAAAAGAAAAAAGAAACAAATGTTATCTACCCTCAAGTTTGGAAAATATTCCTCCTGGGTATATCTACTCCATTACTGTTTTCTGGGTCTATATCATCAGTTGTTTGCCTTTATTCAAAGTTCCTAGAAAGCAGAAATCCTACCTCATGACAAATCTTTGTTCTTTATAAACATATGTACAAGCAATACTGATATTTCATTATGTGGATTAAAGGTCTAATTTCTATCGGTATGTAAAACTCCTATGGGAACCTCCTCCACTATAGCAGATCTCCATCCATGTGAGACTTAGTAGGTAAATCGAGAGGTTAGGTTCCTTGCCAGATGTTCAAGGCTATGTGAACCCAGGACTTCCCAACTCCAAGCCTAGCATCCACTAAACCAGACAGGTGACAGTGGATAGAGCCCTGGACTTGGAGTCAGGAGATCTGAGTTTGAATCCACCCTTAGAGGCTTACTAGCTGTGTGACCCTGGGCAAATCACTGAACCTCTGTACCTCCGTTTCCCCATCTGTAACATGAAGATAATAGCACTTGCTTCCCATGATTGTCGTTAAGGACCAAATGAGGTATTTGTAGAAAGCATAGCAAACCTTAAAGCATTATAGAAGTGCTAGCATTTCAGAGGATGGGATCTTAATTAAAGTAACCACTAGCACCTAGTGCTTTAACTGATCCTCACAAGGGTCCTGTGAGGTCCGCAGGGGGATGAGGGGCTGGTGAAGCCTGAGCTTGAACCCAGCTCTTTGTGTCACGTACTTTGAGACTGTTGAACTCTCGGCTTCCAGTTTTCCGATCAGCTTTTTTCTTCTTTGCTTCTTTCTCAGGGTCAACAGCTTCATACACTCAGTTCCATGCTGGCATGAGAAGATAATCCCTTGAACAGCATCATCAGTTGTAGTAACTTGAAATAACTGCCTTTTGTAAATTGATGCATCTTTTGTGCTTTTGTATCATGTATATTTAATGGGACCAACATGAACACAGCTCTACGATTGTATACAATTCCCTTGCCAACACATCTAAGCAAACTGGAATTTATGTATATAAGCATTGTGTGTTCATGCACAGCAATCACTAAATTACATGTATATTTGTGGAATGCTAATTTAAATGATTAACTTATGGAACCATGACTCATGTATTTATCAAAGGGATAAAGAGATGAAACTTGTGCATATAATTACTGATGAAATGTGTAGCTTGCAGTGTCCTGTACTTTTATTGCAAGACTACTGAAGTTACATGATTCTGTCCTAATATATTTGCTACTGGCAGTGCAGACAGAAAATCGCACTTGTAGAGACCTATTTTTGTAATGGTAGACGTTTTGAATTTTATGGGGGTATTTTGTCAAAGTACTGAAATAAAAAAAAAAACAACTTCATTTTAATCACTGGTGTGTTTTTTAAGCTATTTAACTGATTTAAAAGACAGTGACTTACGCTCATCCAGCCACCTCATTATTTATCTTAAAGTAGTCTGTAGAGGATTTGAAAGGACAGGCTGGAAAGAACCTTAGCTAATCTTACTGAACTACTGAACTAGATGGTGCCAAGACCTGAGCCGTGCTCAGAGCTTACAGGCCTCCATAAAAGTCAACTTTCTAGGTTCTTTGAGGATAGCATACGAAAACAAGAGCAAACTAATACAGCTTTTTTTATAATGACTATTTTATACGATTCATACATTTGTACATTAAACACAAATGCATCTGTCCAATCCCAAATATTTAATGAGATGATCTGATTAAAATCTATAGGCGATTCTCTTCTTCCCACCCGGTATAAATAAAATACTTTGCCAATAAACTCATTGTTTTATCCAAAATTATTTTAATGTGAAAAATTAACAGCACAACTTTAATTACATTTAATGAGTTCAACATGAGTCCTGAAAACTATTTTAACTAAGAACATTACTGGAACATACATGATATTTCAAGGAGGGAATATTTCAAGCCTTACCTAGTAAGAACAAATTGTGTACTGAAATACCCAGTATCAATATAGTCACATACATACGTACACACCCCTAGTAAAGTTTCAAATTAGAACATATACATGAATCTGTCAATTCTACCTTTACAGTTTGATATTTAGTTCCCTCTCCCTCAATCAAAACAGACGTCTACATTTATTGGATTCAGGTAATTTAAGTAAGAATAACAATCAGGCTTAATCCCAGGAGACACTTAGACTACAGTCTATCTCTAACAGCTATGGGGGGAGGGGAGACGGAGGCAGGGGGAAGGCATACAGGTGTTCCTTTCTGATATAGATAAAAGGAGGAAGGAACTAGTCCTTTTCAAAATATTAACAAATAAACCTTTGGTACCAGACAAACTTCTGGCACCCTTTTCTCTCCCAGAAATCCAAAGAGATGTTCTTGGACAAGAGTGGGGCTTCCCAAAATTCTGCTGAAGCAGGTAGGCTCCTGGGAGTGTCAACCGAAGATGAAACCTATCATCCAAGCCATGAATAACTGGTAAGTATAAAAATTAATTTGTAAAAATACATATAATTTGAGAGTAAAGATTTTAGTTTCCTTTTTTATAATATTAAAAGACCAAAAAAACAAAAACAAAAACAAAAAGCTTATCAGACCTTGGTAGGAACTGTCTGATTTTCTAGTGACACAACTTGGAGGAAATTGGATATTTTGGAGGAACCCTATTCCCACATGTAACCTGAATATGACCATAGTATGAAGACATTTAACACAACTACTCTAATTTAAAAGCACCATTTATTTTTTTTTTAAATGCATCATGTCATTTGAGTAAGCCTGCATCCATCCTTGGAATTTTACTGGATTTCACATTCGTTATGTTAATAGTCCTGGGCAGGCTCCCGCCTTCCAGTTGAAACATACACATCCTTTTCTCAGAATTTATAGTAGAAAACTACCCTTAAAATTAATCCTGTTTAGAGGATTAGATCTTTCTCAGCCCAATTTTAGAATGTCTCAATGAACTTGACTCCAGTAATGTACACATGGCAAGTAAAGTATGGAGAATGGCATTATAATCATGTAAACAAATACCACTGTAGCATAAGCATTCATAGACTAGTTTTCTTTTGAAATTGCACACCCAAAAACCCAGTACATTTTAAAGTTATTTTGTGAACTTCATTCAGTGCAAATGCTATACAGCGCCTCACAACATACAAACATGGTTTTCCCGTCTTGTTTTTTTCATGTCGTTCTTCGTTTGTATCTGATTATTGGGTTATCTGGGGTGTGAATCATAGTTGTATAATTCACAGTAGGAAAATATCCATCAACAAGATCAAATTCATACAAGCGAAGCAGAGTGGACCAGATTGTCTTAATTTGGACGTACGCAAAGTTTTCGCCAATGCAGCGATGCCGACCTATGAGGGGAAAGCAACATATATGTGAAGATACTTTAAAGACTAATGTTGCTACTTACTAAAAATTGTGAAAGTTAATTCAATCAAACAAAATAGATACTGACTGCCCTCAAGGAGTTTATGTTCTACTAAAAAAAAATATAACACGTATACAAGTCAACACAGGGTATAATGAGGAATAAGATAACAATAACAAATGAGAATTGAGGGTTAGAAAATCACGGAGAACCAGGGGACTGAAATCCTGCCTCTGCCATTTGCTGGATGGCCCTGAGGAAGTTGTGCCTCCACCTCCCTGTAAGTAAAAAGGACCGGGGGGGGGGGGGGGGGGCCCCCGGGAACCGTTTTTAGGGGGGGGGGGGGGGGGGGGGGGGGGGCTGCACTCGAGAACCGTTTTCATGATGTGGGCTCGGGATGACAGAAGTGAGAAGCTTCATGGAGGTGACACCTGATACAGAGGGCTGAGGTTATGAAGCCTGGTGGTGAGGACAGCAGCAATGGAGTAACTCAGAAAAACACTGTGAAATAGGGAAGTATCATTCTACCCATTTTACAGAGAAGGAGGCAGAGGCTCTGAGAAGTCAGCCTGCCCAAGGATCAATGTAGCATCATCTAAGGAAACTCTGCCAGAAGACGGAGTGAGCACAAGTAACAGAAACAGGTGCAAATGAAGGTCAAGTCAGTCAGCCGAGGAATGAAATTTTCAGAGAGTATACTGGAAAATGTGGGCAGAGTTGAAACTGGGACACGGAGGGTTGAGGAGGATAGGGACTGGCGAGGGGGGTGGTTTACTTTTAAGACAACCCTCTCCTAAGTATCACAGGATCTGGGCGATTAGTAAGTGGTGGGACTTGACTAGACCAGGCAGAGAGGATTGTGAGCAGGAGGAACTCAACGCAAGATGGAAAAAGTTACAGTAATGACGGTCTGGGCAGGGTGCCTGGGAACAAAGGGAGAGGACCTAGGATGGATCCTTGGAAGATGCCCGTGCTTCAAGGGAGCAGGTGAAAAATAGCATGCAAGAGAATAGTCAAGAGAAAACAGTCAGGAGATACGTGTCCCAACAGCCAAGAGAGGGCAGTGTAGGGGGATAGGATGGAAATGGCCAGCAGGACAGAAGAGGGGCCACCTTTTCATAAGAGGCCGATACAGCTTTCTGGTTGGGTCAAGAAACCCTGAAATAATAATTTATGCTTTCTCTAAGTTCCTTCCTCTGCCAACTCAGCACTCTTTTAATTACTGACTAAAGCTACTTAACTGTCATTTCTAGGTCCTACTCCTCTTGTTCCACTGAAATGTCTTTTCTGAAGTTAGCTATGTAACACTTTTTGATTTTAGAGTCAATTTTTGCCTGAGACAAAGTATGAACTAAAGGTAGGCCCAGGAATAAATCTTTTGCAACCATGCTGGACTTAGAGGCAGGAAGACCTAAAGCCATATTCAGCCTCAGATACTTACTAGCTGTGTGACCCTGGACAAGTCACTTAATTTGTTTGCCTCAGCATCCCCATCTGTAATATATATGGAACATAACAGCACCTACCTCCTAGGGTGGTTGTGAAAATCAAATGAGATAACATCTATTAAGTGCTTTGCACCTTTAAAGTGCTACATACATGCTATTGTTAATTAGTATCATCCTCCTTACAATACAAAATCTGCTTTAAAGAAAGACACTTAACATTTGAAAACTATGAAAACCGTTTCTTTGGGGAATTCCAGCGTTTTGAGCAGCTACAAGAGCTTTCGAGAATCCCTGAAATCTTACCTAGTTTAACTAATAAGGACTGTGTTTACTATCCTTTTATAAAGTTCTGTAACAACTTTAAGATGTTCTATGGGGGGAGGAGAGAAACGTTTGAACTGTTTGCTCAACATTATAAGGATGATCACCTGTAAAAGACTTAGCTATCCTGTTCAAGACAATTCCCGGACTCATGATGAAAAATGTTGTCCACCTCCAGAGAGACAGCTGAATAACTGAGTGCAGATTGAAGCAGGCTTCTTTTACTCTATTGTTCTGTTTGTGTTTTCTTTTGCAACATGGCCAGTATAGAAATGTTTGGCATCACCTCACATACAGAATCGCTGTCAAACTGCTTGCCTTCTCAAATAAGTGAGAACTGGTAGGAGCAACAAAATTTGGAAATCAAAAAAATTTCTAAATTTTTGTTAAAATTTTACATGTAATTGAGAAATATTTAACAGAATGAAAATAACTTTTTTTCTGTTTGCTTATGAAAACCACTTTTTAGGCAAAAATTCAAGAGCAAGATCAGAAGAACTGCTTCCCAATAGCTTAGCAACAATTAGTTGGTAATGTTCAATTATTTGAAAATTTGGATTAAGTACAGAGATTACATTTAAAAAGAAATATTAATTGCATCAAGTTAAAATGTAAATGACATACAAAATTACTAACCAAAGAAGAACAATTCTAGAAGACAATTCTGATCAACAATGAAACAGAACTAACAAGTACAGTGGGATAGACTGTCCAAGACAACTTAGAATTCGTAACTCAAGCTGTGACTTCAGGACAGAATTTGGTAGACCCTAAAACCTAAACCTTTACCAAAGCATATCTGAAAAATTTCAGAGATCCCAGTCAGTCACTCTTAACAATAATAAAGCTGAAAGTGGATAAGAGGCCTTTCAAAAATAAAATTCTGACCATCATCGTGAAATAAAAACAGCATAGAGTCATTTGAAGGAGGCGATGTGGCTGAACTCCAGTCTTTAAAGTATGTGCAAAAAAAGATGGAAAGGGTAACACGTAACGATGAACAAATTTGTCTGGAAAAACAAAGATACGTAGAACGGGACTTTTTAAACTTTTTCCCCTCGCAACCTCTTCGGTGCTTCTTAAACTGTGGGTCACAATAGAATATTGAGGGAAATGAAGGGGAGGAGAAGGGGAAACAGCATTTCTTGAGCTCACACTACATTATAAAGCAGCAGTCAACATAACCATCTGGTGTTAAAGAATAGGGAGAGCTCATAAACAAGAGAACTCAATAATCCAGTGTTTGATTAAGTGGAAAACCTCAATTATCGAGGAAAAAGCTCCTTATGTGGAAAAAAAAAAAACCACTGGAAAAACTGGGAAAGTCAGGCAGAAATTCAGCTTAGACCAACACACCATATTTTACAACATATTCTAAATGGATACATCACTTTAATATTAAAGATGATACTACAGAAAAATCAGAAGAAAAACAGGTCGTGCATCTCTCAGGTACGGGTAAAAGAGATGTATTCTTAACCAGACAGAGAGGCAGTTACAAAAGAGAAAATATAACTTTGATTACTTAAAACTGAAAAGCTTTTGCACAGACAACATTAATGCATGTAAGTTAAGAGACAAAAAGTAGTTGAATGGGAACAAGGTCTTTTGTATCAAATTTCTCTGAGAAGGGTTTGGTATCCAAGATACAAAACAATTAATAAATATAAACATGATTAAATGGTCAAAGGATATGAATAAACACTTAAAAAGAAATACAACGCTTTGACCCAGCAATAGCACTTCTAGGGCTGTATTCCAAAGAGATCATAAAAACAGGAAAAGGACCCACATGTACAAACATATTTATAACAGCTCTTTCTGTGGTGGCAAAGAATTGGAAATTGAAGGGATGCCCATCAATTGGGGAATAGCTGGGGAATTGAATCATCAACTGGGGAATGTGTGGTATGTGAATGTAACAGAATTACTATTGTTCCATAAGAAATGGTGAGCAGGCAGATTTCAGAAAAACCTGGAAAGACTTGTATGGACTGATGCTGAGTGAAGTAAGCAGAACCAGGAGAACACTGTACACAGTAACAGCCACATTGTGTGATGACTGATTCTGACTGACTTAACTCTTCTCAGCAATGCAGAGATCTAAGAAATCTCCAAAAGTCTCATGATGGAAAATGCTGTCCACATCCAGAGAAAGAACTATTGAGTCTGAATACAAATCGAAGCATACTACTTGCTCTTTTTTTCTTTCTGTTTTGTTTTGCTGCTTCTTTCTTATGGATCCTCCTATTGGTTCTAATTCTTCTTTAAAACATGACTAATGTGAAAATGTTTAATAGAAATGTATATGTAGAGCCTATATCAGATTGCACGTGGTCTTGGGGAGGAAGGGAGGGAAAACGTACAACTCAAAAGCTTCTGGAAGTGAATGCTGAAAACTAAAAATTAAAAATATGTCTGCTAAGAACAAAAAAAAATTACAAAATATTCACAACCACATGAAAAAAATGCTCCAAATCACTAATAATAAAAGAAATACAAATTTAAGTGAAGTTTCACTTCACGTTCTACAAACTGGAAAAAATGACAACAGTTACTATTGGAGGACAGTCAGTCTATTTTGTTGCTGGTGGAGCTGTGAGATGGTGCAACCACTTTGTAAAGCAACTGAAATTATGCAAATGAAGTGACTAAACTGTCTATATCCTTTGAATTCCTGAGCTTATCACACCCCAAGGAAGCCATCAGTAAGAAAAGTCCCCATATACTCCAAAATATTTACAGCAGAACTTTTTGTGATAACTAAGAATTGAAAACAAAGTAGATGTGCATCAACTGAGGACTGGCTAAACAAATTGGGGTGCACGAATATAATGGAATAGAACTGTACCTAAGAAATGATGCATGTGATTTAGACAGAGAAGCAAGGAAAGATCTCAATGAGCTGATGCAGAATCAAGTCAGCAGAGTCAAGAAAACAAGCTACACAATATCCACAACAATGTAAATGGAAAGAATGACACCCAAAAAAATCAAAAGTAAATAGAACACAATTATAAATATCCAGCAGGACTCAAATGAAGAGGTGGAATGACACCCTCAACCCAACCCTTTGTGGAAGAGGTCCACGTAGGAAACGTTTGACAAAAAAATAAAAATACAGTAACACACACACACACACACAAATAAGTATACAGCAGGCTCACCTGCTCCAAAAGGCACATATGCAAACTTCTCGCCCGATGCAGGATTATCTTGTAAGTATCGGTCAGGATTAAAGTCCAAGCGTTCTATCCAAGAGTCTTTAAGTCTATGATTAACAGTAGGAGAGACACACACCTGATGACCTGGAGGAATTGTATAGCCTGCTACAATCTACAAGTTAAAGGAACACAATACATTTTTCTTTAGGCAACTCAAATATATTTCAAATTAACTGAAATCAACCCCACAAAATAAGTGAGAACCAATATGCAATTGTACATCACAAAAAAATCTAGCTAGGTGGCAGACTGTTTAAACAAATACATTATTTTATCATAAACTTCCATTACATGATTATGTGGCAGATTTTCTCTGAATGGCAGCTACTACTAAGAAAGTACTATGTTAGGTATCATTTTCATCTTGGTCTCAGGTTTTCAAGAACAGGTGTGCCCTGCCTGCAAAACAGCCACAGGCAGAAGGGAGCGCGGCACAGTGAATGAGTTTAGCTCCCAAGGACCTGGGTTCAAACCTCACCTCCTCAGCGCTTCCAGCCCTTTCCAGTCCTCCTTAAGCTTAGCACATTCCCTCTTCCCTCTAGACACTGTTTTGTTTGTGTGACTGTTTGCATGTCGTCTCCCCCATTAGGGCAGGGTTGTCTTTTACCTTTCTCTGTATCCTCAGCACTCAGCAGGCACTAATCAATGCTTGTTAACTGAACCTGACTCCCTGTGTGCCCTGGACAAGCTCCTTCACCTCCTGGGCCTCTCAGCCTGGTCATCTGTAAAATGAGGAGGCGGACTTGGGAAGGACCCTGAGCTCCCTGCCAGCCCTACGCAGAGAATCCTGCCCACGCATCTGTCTGGAGGAACACTCACCTGGGAGGTTTTGGCCAGTCTCATCATAGTCATTATAGGAGGTCTAAGTCTTAGGGTTTCTTTCAAACAGCGATCTAACAAATGTAGATCTTTGAGCTAAAGAGAGAAAAATCTGTGAGCTGATTGACAATCAATACAGGTAAAAGTTCACAAAGAAAATAGTATAAAATGTTTTTCTACTTGACTAGTATATTTTATAGTCTGCATTACCCTCAGCGGCATCTCAATGGCCAAGACCTGGAAAACACCTTCTACTGCCAAGAGGAAGAAGAGAAAAAAGCCAGGCAGCACCTCTACATGGATGCCGCTCAGCGGGCCACTACAAGGAAAGTCTCCAATCTAACCCCTGACCCCCACACCTCCAAAACTGCCCTCCGTGACCCTACTTAGGTCTTTCATTTCAAACCGAGAGTCAAGCAAACCTGATCATAATTTAGAGGAGGCAAATCTTCTCCGCAGACACTCTGCTGTTCTAAGAAACATTTTTCCTGCAGCGTTTTGTCTCTGGCCAAAAAGAAGCCCATCCAAGCACTTGTGGTCGAGGACGTGTGCTGCCCCGCCAACAGAAGTCCAATCAGCAGCCCTGCAATCTCATCGTCTGTCAGAGGCCTCCCATCCCTGAGGAAGCCAGCCAGACAAACAACGTTAGCACTTACAGCAGGCACAGACACCTCAGAATGTCAATGAAATGTAAAAATCCATGGTGTTCTCAAGAGCCACAAGTTAAAGTTCACATTTTCTTGGAGAAAATAGTAGAAAGAAAGGTAAATAACAAAGGACCTTTTTTTTTTTTTAAGTGAGGCAATTGGGGTTAATTGACTCGCCCAGATCCACACAGCTAGTGAATAGTATGTGTCTGAGGCTACATTTGAACTCAGGTCCTCCTGACTCAAGGGCCGGTGCTTTCTCCACTGCGCCATCTAGCTGCTCCCAAAGGAACTTATTTCAACCATTAGAAGTCCACTGGCAAAAAAAATGCTACTCCATTTTTCAACTGTTCGGTTCCTTATTTTTCACAATGATCTGTAGACATTTCAGATAAAATAACATAATTCAGTGCTAAAAACAAACTTTTACCAGTCAGAGGACAAAAAGATAAAACATTAAGCAAAATTATTAAGTAAATTTCCTTATTTTAGCTCAGTACATCTGCCTCTGAACAGTTTTTACTTACTTGTAAGTAGATTCTAGTAAAGTTTGAAGAATATCATCAATTTTTTCTTTGGACTTCCTACGTTTCCAGATCGCCTCACAGAAAATGTTTTTGATTGCTCGATGTGCTTGGTCCCGGCGCCTATAATTCAAAAATTATCAATTATGCAAAAATGTCGAAATAATTACCAATTTTTAACTTCAGGGCTTTTCATTTCATAAGTAGTGATAAAATTCTAGCTAAAGGGAGCCCATTTTAAAATGAATTTAAATTCCCCACCCTATTAGACACAGTGACATTTGTTTATTTATGAGGTAGCCACTTATACTGATCACGCCCTTGAAGGATCTTCCAATGTGAGTGAAAGCAGAGTTTTTTGGTTTTTTTTTTTTTTAACAAATTTCAGAATTTCACTGCAGCACAGATTGCTTACGGGGGCAGCGTGGCTCCATTTCTAACAGATCTGCTTCCGCTTTCCCATGTATTCTCACTGTCTTGTCTACTCTTTCCCTCCCCATAGAAAGAATCAGAATGGTTTTCTTCCGCCTCCCCTAAAGGAACTGATAAGCAGGACACAGCCCATTCCAGTTGCTCCCCACCACAGCACCCACCTGAAACCCTGAACAATTAATCAACATCATGTATATGTTCTCTGTGCAAGGCACTGCAATAGATGTGGAGTGTGAGGGACAGAAAGATATCAAACTCAGCATAGTGCTTGCCCTCAAAGAACTGACAAAACATATAGTTTGGGATGTAAGGCATAACGTCTTTAAATGCTAGCTCACGTTAAACGCTATAGAGATGAAGAAATGTCAAAGTGTACCACTGCTAAATAAACGGGACAAACAAGTTCCTACACTACAGACGTATTCTAGCTGAGGTGGTAAAGGAAGGCTTGATGAAGGAGGCAGAATTTGAGCTGGATTTCTTTCAAAAAGTTAGGATTTACATAAGTTAGGCACAGCGAAAGATACTTCACGCGGGATAACTGGAATCAAAAGCAGTTAAGTATGTTCAAGACACTGATCCAAGTGGAGCAGGAGTTTCATGTAGGGGAATGAGACATGATTATAAAAGTGTGTTGGGATCAGATTAGAGATGGTTTTGAAGAGAATAAGGCAGACTTTATCCTGTAAAAAAAAAAAGAAAATGGAGAGCATCACTGAAGATTTCTGATGCCCACTTTGCCTCATTTCTGATGTCCACATTGTACTCATGTGGCCTTAAGTAATTCACTTAACTACTTTGTGCCTCAGTTTCCTCACCTGTAAAATTAAGAGTCTGAACTAAAAGGACCTCTTAAAATCCCTTCCAATTCTAAATCAGTGATCTTATGACACAATCCAAAAAATTAATCTGGAAGTAACTACAAGCTGGGGAACCAATTCATTAGGGTTATTAATTAAATCTGGGTATAAGGTGATAAGAGCAGTAAAGTGAAAGCAATGGGACTGCAAAGAAACATTATAAAAGGACAAACAGAAATAACTATCAGTGAGAGGATGTAAGGAAAAAGTCAGAGATGACTTTACCAGTCACAAAAGACAACCCAATCAGCATTTTGGGAAAATGCAGCTGTTCTCAAGGTTTTCTCTATCAATCATTAAGCATTTATTAAGCACCTATTGTATTTTAGGCACAAGGGATACAAAAACAAAAAGGAAATAGTCCTTGTACTTGTATCTTACACTCCATCATAAGACACAATGGGTAGGCACAATGATTAGAACACTGAGCCTGGACTAGCTGGGTGACCCTAGGAAAATCACTTCACCTGTCTGCCTCAGTCTCCCCATCTGTAAAATGGGAATAAGAGCCCCTACCTCACAGGGTGGTTGAGGGTCGCATCAGATAACATATGTAAACCTTAAAGTGCTGTACACATTGACTATTAATCCTATTAGTACCATTACTTTTATACGTACGTTAAAAAGACACAAAATTGCCACAAAATAATTTTGGCAGGGAGGACAAGCAGCTGGGAGACTGGGAAAAGCGGCACTACAGCCAAGTTTGGAAGGAAACAAGAGATTTTGGGAGGAAAAGGTGAGGAGGGAGCCCTTCTAGGCACAGAGACAGACACTGGAGCGTGCTGAAGGATCAGCAAAGCCAGCCTGGCCAAACCACTGAGGACTTACTGGAAGGAGAGCAGAGGCAGGGGGAGGCCAAACAGTTAAGGGCAGTTTATATTTTAGAGGCAATGAGGAGTTGCTGGAGTTTGGGAGAGAGGGGACAGTAGGGGAGGACAGGATAATGGTCAATGTTGGCCAGACCTGCACCTGAACGCAGGGGTACTTTGGCAGGCGTGTGTTAACAGATGAATAGGGAGAGACCCACTAGGGTCTGCTGAAGCAGTCCAGGTAAGAGATGACATGTGCCAAAACAAAGATGGTGACCATGTGGGCAGAGGGTAAACATCCAAAGATGGCTTAAAGGGAGAAACCACAAGATTCGTAACTGAAAAGATGTGTGGGGAGAAGAATGAAGAGTGATAACGCCAAGGTTACAAACCTGAGGGACTGGAAAGAAGGTAGAATACTCAACAAATATATGGCAATTTAGAAAAGAAATAATAAAAGCAATAAAATAGCTCTGTTTAGGACATGCCAAATTTGAACCGCCTAAGGTACACGTCCAGTATGAACCAACAGGTGGTTGGTAGCGACGTTCTGGAACTCAGGAGAGAGACCAGGGCTGGATTATTGATCCAGGAGTTACATGCAGAGCAACAGTAAAAACTCACCGAAGTTGATGAAGTTATCAAGCAAGAGCACAAAAAAAGAAGAGAGACCCAGAGAGAGTCCTAAGTACACCCACAAGGCCACTGCAAATGACAGCCACAATAAAAACAACATTCATATAGCACTTTTAAGGTGTGCAAAGCGCTTTATAAATCTCATTTTATCCTCACAACAACCCTGGAAGGTAGGTGCTATATTTCAGCCCCATTTCACAGATGAAGCAACTAAGGCAGACAGATAATTGAATCAGGTCACATACCGAGTGTTTGAGGCCAATTTTGAACTCAGATCTTCCCGAGCCCAGGTCCAGCACCAACCCACCTAACTAAACTCTCCTTTAAATGAGCTCAGTATTTAAAGGACAGCTGTGGTAATTTTTTTTCTACTGGAAACATCCCCTAATTTGCTTTTTAAATCTGCCTTTCATTTGTCAGTTTTTCATTAAGCACGGCATACCAATATCACAGTAAACAGCATGACAGGACAAGCAGTTGGCCGTGGGGGTCAGGACTGCTTGGGTTCACCTTCTGCTCGACACATACCAGCTCTGTCACCTTAGGACGTCCCTCCTCAGTATCCCAGCACTTTAACAGCGAGTCAGAGACCCTCATCTACATCAATAGAGGGAAATCTCACACTGGGAGTTCCCTCTGCCAATGAAATCCCCCATCCAGACAAAAGGCAACAACAAAGCACCACAAAAGTCCCGAGTCAGATGAACCAGGTAGTGCAGTAAATACCTGAAACTGGGCAAAGGCAACCAGCCTGGCAGGAGCCAGGCAGCATGGCTAAAGCCTCCATCCAGGTCTGCGTAGAGCTGGGCCACTTTTTCGTTCAGCTGGCTTCTGATCTCTTTTCCATGTAAACAGTGGCTCGCCGTGAGAATGATGAGCTCAGAAAGGGCTTCAAACAAATCTGAGGAAAAGAGACAAAGAGTCCATGTTAAGGCACCCTCAGGGCCTCCCCCTCCTCCTCCGAGACCACCGAGAAGACAGGCCCTGGGCCTACCCTTCTCGTTACAGGAGACATTCAGAAACGAAGAAGGCCAGTGTTTGACTTTCATAAGTAAAGCAGGGACCTCGCTGTGGCATGGAGGTGATGCAACTTCTCAAGGCTCGACCAGCTGCGCAAAAGGCCTGGCAGGTTCCAGGGAGCCTGAAACACTCTGGTGGTGCCATCAGTGGGCAGGGGGCCACTGACTGAAGCTGGGCCTTGCTAAGGAGGGCAAGGCTTATCACCGGCCACTGCGTGATGGATGAATCACTGGCAATAGACAGGAAACCAAGAAAAATAGGAAAGGGCCCTCAGTCAAGCAAAGATGGGCACTCAAATCACTCCTCTAAGACCATCACAACACCTCACTTAGCTGACAAGCACAGCTGAGCGCCAGAAAAATCTAACTTGTAAACAAAAGGGTTCCCAGCCACACAGAGCACTTAATTAACTAAGCACTGCATGCTTTATTCTCGTGATACAAATCCTCTTCTTTGAGAGATGGCTGTTAAACTTGGTTATCTGGTCTTCCCATTCCAAAGCAAAGTGGGTTCAAATGGAAATGTCTTGATATTTTAATTGTTGTGGAGGACAAGAAAAGAACAGAGACATCTGACAATGCAAGAAGGAAAGGACTATAAAAACTTCATCTTTTTTTTTTACACAAAAGTAAAGCAAAGGGTCATTTTACTCTAAGTGCAGAAGACCCAACGATCTCCAACAGTCTTGAGGACAAGGCCGTATTGTGTTGCAGTCCAGTAAAAATGCTGGCAACCTAACATCATTTGGTAACGTTAAACATGTGCACTTCATTGCAATCAACGTAATCCACTTTGAAAATATTTCCGTCGTCATGGGTAAACTAATTTTTCTGGCTAATAAAGATGAAAAATTTACTCGTGTGAATTTTATTTTCCTCAATGATACATTACTGTACATAATTACACTTTGAAGTGAATTTGAATGTTTGAAGTTTAAAACTTTTAACCTTTCATGAAAACTAAAATTAGTTTCCTATTTTGAAAAGACCTCTTTTAATGACTTCTACATTTCTATCTCAGATTTTATCAAGTTTTAAATAATAAAATTTACATTTATCCTTAAGTTGTAAACATATTAATTTTAAAGTTATATTAACTACATCCAAGTCAGCACAAAGTTTTCTACTCAGATTTTTAAGTCTATACTAAATCATTTTGTTTCCATTCCATTCAAGTTATTTTTTTTAAACACTGCAATTTACCTAACAAAATTCTTATGTTAAAGAATTGGGGGGGGAGAACTGGGGGGTAGGGAGGAGCTAGAAGGAAGAAGGATATATCAAGAAATTCAGATGATGCCAAAACAGATACCAATAAAAGTGTTCCCCTCCCCTAAAAAGCAAAATGCCTATATTAAAATAACTTTCCAAATCCAAGCAGAAATATTAGAATAAATTTTTTAAATCTTTGCTTACTTTTTTCTCCACTTTCTCCCCAGCTTTCAAAGTATTCCCTTGTTTCTTTTTCAATTATCAAAACATGTTGTTTAAAATGGGCTATATTAAGGCCAGTTTTTAACATTTTCTTTTGTTCCAAGAATACCTTCAAAAAAATGAATTAAATATTAAAAGACAAGGAACACATTTCTTTTTAACCATAGGAAGTCTCCTTAATATCTCTCTCACAGAAAACTATATTCTAAAAGAGGAATAACTTTTTTTAAAAAACCTATACCAAAATTGGCAACCCTAAACAAATAAACTGCAAAATGGGTGCCCCCCCATCTCCTAGCACCCAGTGCCTTCAAGCTGCCCCGTCTTAAATGACTCTTCTCACAGAAGTACTCCATGCTTCAAAATTCCCTCCAACCCACTACCTCAGCCAGACACCAAACCAACCAACTCCAAAACCCTCCTAATTTTCCACTGATTCAGTACAGTGCCCTTTCACCTTCCTGGTCTCCTTATATATGTCCTCTCCCCGATCCCTACTAACTCAAGGCTACTAATTAGTAGCAACTGTTAAAAGATACTACTACGCTACAGAACTAGGTTAGAGATTCCTTAATAACATACAGCAAGCAATTTGAGAATGTTTAATTTTAATTGGCATTCTAGGTTAAAACATTTAACCGATATTAATCCCCAAAAAGTAACTCGTACTGGGTTTGGCACATCATAAGCAACTCCTTTTCCAAAGACTGGTGTTGTGAGCCGGCTGTAAACGTCTTCTGCATTCAGATCTTCATTCTTGCTGTTGAACAGCAGGGCAGCAGCATCGCTGCCAAGGAGGTACGTAAACTTCTTGCCCACCATCGTAAAACTAAATACAGGGCCATACTGGGAAGGAAGAAAGCATACACGATAACGTGACGAAGGAAACACAGAAACATTCTCATTAATTTTTCTACACTGTAGGATCAGAAGACACCTCAGAAATCAACTAGTCCAATCTTTACTTGAAATACAAAATTCTTCTACAGCAACTCTAACAAGTCAATAGCCAGCCTCCACGTGCACACCTCCAGTGAGAGGAAGCTCACTATTTCTTAACGTAACTTAGTCCACTTTTAAACAGGTCTAATGATTAAGAAGTTTTCCCTTATACTGTGCCATAATCTGCCCTTCTACAGCTTTGTTGGACCTGTGACCTAACTAGAAACAAAGGAGCCTAAAGCCTCCTCCTTACCCTCCGGCCCTGGGAACCCTTCCTTCCGGGAAGGCATGTGGGGACCTTGGAGAGCTCCTCCCTGACCCTTCACATCACTCATTAATCAGCTGGCAGCAAGTTTTCATCATGTCACATCTCCACCTCCATTTTCCAGCTTCTTTTTCATGTGTTATCTTCCCCATCAGACTGACCTCCTCAAGGGCAGGGACTGCCTTTTACCTTTCTCTGTATCTCCAACTTTCACTATATTAGGAGCTTAATGCTTACTGACTGACTGACCTTAAAGGACAGAGAAGTGAAGTGATTTGTCCACGGTCACAAAGAATCAGAATATGAAAACAGATCTTCCTAACTACCTGTCCAGGGCCTCATCCAGGAACCCACTGCCCTAATCCATCCATTTAGGTACTTATTGTAAGCACCTCCCTACAGTGTCCTAAGAAGCCTAGCCCTCAGCATCCTTCCACAGGGAGGTGTTTCCTACTAACCACCATCAATCAGGTGAGTGGAGCTCAGTGTAGTTTCCATGGTTATGGAGTAAAGAGGGAAGCACTGAGGAAAACTGAGTCCGTCCAGAGTGAAAAAGCGTGTGAAAGACTAGACACTGAAAAGAACGGATAAACAGGTTATCAAGAATCCTGGGATGAGTGAATAAGGGAAAACCTAAGAAAAGCTAATCTAAATTTTGTTGATCCACAAGGTAGATTGGGCTTGACTCAAGTAGAAGACTCACCTTCTCATACGCATTTTCCAGAAACTCAATAGGACTTTTCCCAAATGCTATTGCATGTCCAAGGAAAGGAATAGGAGAGAAAATGTAGGGTGGACATTTCTGAAAGAAAAGAAAAAAGATTGTAACTTATTATAGACCCACATACAACAAACAGAGTTTTAAAAAATTCTGTGTAAGTCGCCACTAAAACTTAAAACAAAAATAACACAAAGGATGGAAGCAACATGCACTGCAGTTTCAGATGCTGGACACAGCTGAAGACACGGCAAAAATTACCACTATAAATACAGGACAGAAATTAAAGTTATCTACAGTCATAGAAAAAATGCTCCAAATCATTACTGATTAGAGAAACGCCAATCAAAACGGCTTGAGGTACCACATCACACCTATCAGATTGGCTAACATGACAAAACAGGAAAATAATAAACATTGGAGAAGACTGGGAAAACTGGAACACTAAGGGGTTGCTGGAGTTGTGAACTGATCTAACCATTCTGGAAAACAATTTGGAACTATGCCCAAAGGGCTATAAAAATGTGCATACCCTTTGACCCAGCAATAGCACTTCTAGGGCTTTATCTCAGAGATCATAAAAATGGGAAAAGGACCCACATGTACAAAAATATTTATAGCAGCTTTTTTTGCGGTGGCCAAGAATTGGAAATTGAGGAGATGCCCATCATTTGGGGAATGGTTGAACAAGTTGTGGTAAATGAATGTAATGGAATACTATTGTGCTACAAGAAATGATGAGCAAGCAGACTTCAGAAAAACCTTTAAAGACTTATATGAACTGATGCAGAACCAGGAGAACATTGTACACAGTAACAGCCACCCGTGCAATGACTGACTTTGATAGACTTAGTTCTCAGCAACGCAAAGATCTAAGATAACTCCAAAAAACTCATGATGGAAAAAGCTGTCCACACCCAGAGAGAGAACGATGGAGTCCGAATGCAGATGGAAGCACGCTATTTGCTCTTCCTTTTGTTGCTATGATTTGATTCTTCTTTCTCATGGTTCCTCCCATTAGTTTTAATTCTTCTTTCGATCATGACTAATTTGAAAATATGCTTAATATGAAAGTTTAAGTACAGCCTAAATCAGATTGCATGCTGTCTTGGAGAGTGGGGAGGGGGAAAAAATTTGAAACCCAAAATCTTATGGAAGTGAATGTTGAAAACTAAAAGTTAATAAATTGTTTAATTAAAAAATAAATAAATAAATACAGGACAAATTTTCAGAGTCAGATAGCAAGAAGAAAAGGGGGGAGGGTTGCTATGTGGGTGTCCTTGCCTCCAGTTTCTTCTAGCACTCTCGATTTCAGTTCTAGAACACTAGCAAATGGATAGTAGATAAAGACCTAAAAATTAAAACTACAGGGATAGGAAGGAACAAAATAAAAGCAACACACTTATCAATGAACAAAGAGTACATTTCGGAACATTTAAAAGCTAAGCAAAAAAAAAAAAGAGGCAGGATTAATATGAACTTTAACATGAATTCCCCTTTAAGATGAACTCTGGCAACTAACCATAAATAACCCTTCTGACCACACCAAATGAGACTGTTAATGCTAAAGTAAAGTTTTCTGGAAATCAAGTTAGTAATGAATGGTGAAGAAAAAGCAAACTCCTTCCCTATTGCTGTCAGGTCACATGGCCCTCCTCCAACCCAAGGGTCATTCTAGATTCTCCTGTGGCACTCACTGTACACACACCCAGTCTCTAGCTTATGCCATGTCCCTTGTCTCCACTCAAGAGCCACCACCAGAGGCAGGCTTCTACCTTCTGCACCACAGCAATGACCCGGCTGTTCTCTGCTTCCTAAGCCTCCTCCCCACTCTCATCTGCTCTCTACTCCCCCTCCCCCCATTTCTAGAAATAGAAATCACTTAAAGAATCAACGTTAATACTGTTTGGCACGGGAGGCCCCTTCTTCCTTTGCCTTCTCAGACTTTTGCTTTCCTCAGACATTCCTTTTCTCCCCCTGTCTTCTCCTCTCTCTGTCTTCCCTTCTCAGTCTTCCCTCTCTTCTTTCTTATTCTCTCTCCTTTTTTCCCTCATCTCCTCTCTCCTTTCTCCTCCATTTCTCAGTTTCTCTCCTCCCTCCTCTCTCCATTTCTCAGTTTCTCTCCTCCCTCCCAGTCTTTTCCCTCTGGCAGACACACAGTCAGTGACACCTGCATGCTGTCACCCCCATTAGATTAAGGGCTCCAAAAGGGCACAAGTCGCTTTTGCTTCTCTCCCCACGCCGGGGCTTCGCACACAGTGAACGCTCGCTACAAAGTTGTTGAGTGAGTGAGTGACTGAGCGCTGACCTTGGCCGGAGCTCCGATCACCCCGAGAGGGCAGCACCCCCCATCACTGCTCTCACCAGGAGAATCTACCACAAGCGATAACTTCTCTACTGAAATCCGTTGCACGAGCCCAAAATCTGCTCTGTCCCTCTTGGTGGGCAGTCCCTCCCCCCACCATCCGAGGGCTGCAAGATAAAGGACCGTCCAGCTCGAGCTCTGGCCAAGGGGCATGCCTGGTCCCGGGCAGCTCCACTGGGGACCCCAGAGATGAAGAGAAGAGGGGGCGGAGTGGGGCTCGCAGGGAGAAAAACCTGATTTTCCAAATAAGCCGTTTCCTTAGATGAGGCCACCTTAGATGAGGGCATCCACGAGAGCAGGCCTCCGGGACCGCCTTCCCTCCGCCCCAGCCCTCCTCCCCTCTGAGTGCACCGTCCCGGTTCCTCCATCTCAGCCCCCCCCCCCCTGAGTGCCCCGCCCCGGCTCCTCCCCCTCCGCCCCCCCCCCGGGGGTGCCCCGCCGGCCACCGCGCCCCCGCCTCCCCCCCCCCCCCCGGTGCACCGTCGACCCCCCCGCGCGCCCCCGTGACCTCACCCCTTCTCCAGCCGGCTGCTTCGGGTGGCCCAGGCCGCGGCGCAGCAGGTAGGCCAGGCTGAGCGTGCAGACGCACGCGGCCAGCGCAGCCGACAGCCGCCCGCCGCCCGTCACCGCCTCCGCGGCGCCCTCCAGCATCCCGAGCACGGCCATGCCCGCCGCCGCCGCCGAGCCTGCCGTGGCCGCTCCTACAGCCCACCAGAGAGACCTGGAGGCCCGGGTCGCCATCGCGCCGCCGCCGCTGCAGCTACCGCCGAGCACCACAGATGGACCGTCGGATGGCACCACCGGGATGGAGCCCGGGTAGGGGGCGGCGGCGACGGCCGCCCTAGATGCCCCCGGCCCCGCCTCCCGGCCCGGCTCGCACCATGACTACGTCACACTGGACGGGGCGGGGCTCGGCCCAGGCCCCGCCCCCGAGCCGGGCCCCGGGACTCAGCGCTCCCTCCGCAAGGGGTTCCCTGCGCCGCGGGGGGTGGAGGTCGGAGCGCGCCGGGGGGCGGGCGGGGCAGGGGGTGCCGAGCTCGCCAGCCTGCAGGCTTGAGGCACGCTAGCCGATGTTTCCGGAGGGACAGGTGGCGATCCCCGCGAGGCTGCTCCGAGGCACTATTTTTTTGGGGGGAGGGGAGGCGGCCGGTGGAAGGCATCCTGCGGACCCATCTCTCGGAGGCCGTCGTGAAGTCACCCACCTGACCGGCGGCCGCGGCGCTGATTGCTCGGGCTCCGCCTGAGGTGATGTCGGCTTATGTGACGTCACAGCCACCATGTAGCGGGGGCGAGGCCTTTGCGTAGTCACACGTGCTGACTCGGAGGCGGTCACGGAACTCGGAAAAGCTCTTGGGAGGCCCGTGGAGGTCAGGCCTGTGGTTGGGCGCCCCCTGCTGGTGGGCGAAGAAGGGGAGCGAGCAGAACCTGGAACGAGGCTGAGCAGTCAGTGAGCAAGCACCACAAATCACTCAATAAATATTAAGATCCCAAGGAGGACAAAAAGCCCTGCCCTCAAGGAGCTCACAGTCTAATGGGGACACAGCCTGTCAGTGACTTTGAACATGATGGCAATAACACTGTGAGGTGTGCAGAACGGGAACTTTACCAAATGTGAATCTCACTTGACCCTGCCAATAATGCCGAGATTTAAATGCCCCCATTTTACAGAAGAGGAAACCGAGGCTGAGAGTTTTATATACACATGTATGAAGTATATACAGCGACTTTTTGTGACCCCATCTGGGTTTTCTTGGCAGAGATACTGGAGTGGCTTGCCATTTCCTTCTCCAGCTCATTTTACAGATGAGGAAACTGAGGCAAATGGTTAAGTGACTTGCCCAGGGCCACACACTATCTGAGACCAGAAGACGATGAGTCTTCCCTATTCCAGGCCCAGCGCTCTGTGCACTATGGCGCCACCTACCGGTCCACCGTGTACAGAAGACAGAGATATCATCTTCCCTCTGTTAATTATTTCCTATTTGTCATGCTTTGCACATATTTACCTGCATGTCTCCCCCATTAGATTGTCAACTCCTAGAGGGCAGTTTCCGTCTTTGGCCTCTTTTTGTATCTTAGCACACTGCCGGGCATACAAGAGGCACTTACTAAATGTGATTGAACCGAATTGAATCTGGGGAGACCAGGAAAGGCCTCCTGGGGAAGGAAGCCAGTAAGATGAGGAAGGAGGGGCCACATTCAGAAGGACTTTATATTTGATCCTAGAGGGACGCCACTAGGAGTTCTTGTCTTGGGGGGAAGGGAGTGACATGCTTTAGGGAAAGTGCTTTGGCTGTTGAGGGGAGGATGGGAGAGACTTGGGGCAGAAGACCATAGAAGGCTGTTGAGGTAGTCCAGGTGAGAGGTGATGGGCACCTGTAGGAGGGTAGAACCTACAGGAGCTGAGAGAGGGGAAATAATAGGAGACATGGAGAGCTGAAAGACCTGACAACCAATTGACCCTGTTGTGTGTGTGAGTTCCAGTGAGGGAGATGAGGGAGACACGTAGGTTGGGAGTCTAGGTGAAGGGGTGGATGGTGGTACCCTCAACAGCAACAGGGAACTTCAGAAGAGGGAAGAGATTGGGTGTGACGTGGATGAAGGACCAGCAGAGGAGACTGAGAACGAACAGTTTCACCACAAAAAAAAAAGGGGGGGGGGGGAGGAGAGAATATTTTGGAGCTAACAGTGAGAAGCTGCAGACAGAATTAAGAAAAGGCGTTTGTTTTGGCAATGAAAGGTCATTTGAGGAGGTAACCACAAGATGCCACTTGACATTGGGGGTGACAGGGTTACACCTATGCTTTAGGGAAAATAACTTTGGCTGCTGAGCAGGGGTTGGATTGGAACAGGGAGAGCCTTAGGGCGGGAAGCCCATTAGAAGGCTATTGCAGTAGTCTCGATAAAAGCTAAAAGCCAGCCTGCAGAGGATCCAGGAGCAGGAGAGGAGAGAGCTCTGTGTCTCACCTCTGTGCCTTGGCCCTCCCTGTGACCCTTCGTCTCCCTCACCTCCGCCTCCGAATCTCTAGCTTCCCTCAAAGCTGTTGCATCCTATAGGGCCTCCCCTCTTACTACCATCCCCCTTAAAATAAGTCACATTTATCTTCTATATCTCACAAGTATGCTCTGGCCTTGCTAGAACAAGCTCTACTACCCAAGTTATTGGGAGTATCTGTTTAATAATATTGGTTCAACCCCATCCACCCCCACTGTTAGCCATCACTTAGTAACCAGCACTCCAGTTCCATTTAAGCACTTAACATCAATTTGCTTTTTGAATGGGATATTTACTTCAAAGATATAGTATAAGAAACATGCCCCCCAGTGCCTTGGGGCGCTGTCTCCCCTATACCATTGCTAATGCTCTCCCTCTGTTACTACTGAGGATACACCATCCTCCCCGTCATCCAGGCTCGTCCCCTAGAGAGAATAGAGTCACATTTGGTGCCATTTCTACAAAGCAACGGCACCACTAAAGTCAATTCCAAATGTGGTGTTGATGCTAGATAGATGAGTCCTCAGTTCAGCTGTCCCGGGCTGGATCCTGTACTATTGAATGTCCAGACACCTGGATGGCTCAATCTCCTGACTTTTTGAATCTCCCAAAGCTGGAGCCTTCTGCTTCATTTCCCTCACCTAAAACAAAGGAACAAATGTAAAAACAACGGCCTGAAGCCTCTCCCTATGTTGTGGCACTGTTTCTCACCAGTCACAATCATCGTAGGCATCAAAAATAAAAGAAGGAAACCAGCCAGCCATTCAAGTGTGTTCTGGGGTGGGTGAGAGGAGGCCCAGAGAGGGGAGAAAGAGCACTGTGTGATGGGGACAATGGGGACATTGAGCATGACAGTTTAACCAGAGCACAGAGTACTATGAAGGAAAAATAAATTGGCATTGGAGATTAGCCTGGAAAGGTAGGAGATTGCATTTTGACCTTGAAGCAAAAGAAAGTCACTGGAACTTTTTAAGCAGGGAGTAGCATGGTCAGTCAGCCTTGTGCTTGAGAAATGTCACTTTGGCATCTGTATGGAGGATGGATCAGAGGGGAGAGAGATTCCATCCAGGGTTCTAGACCTGCACCACCTCTTCCACACTAGACATCTCCAACTAGATGTCCCACAGGCGTATCGAACTCAACCTGTCCAAAACAGAGATCATTTTTGTTGTTGTCCAGTTTTTTCAGTCCTTTATGACGCTTCATGATCCCTTTGGGGGTCTTCTTGGCAAAGATACTGGAGTAGTTTGCCATTTCCTTCTTCAGCTCATTTTTCAGATGAGAAAATTGAAGCAAACAGGGTTAAATGACTTGCCTAGGATCACACAGCTAAGAGTCTGAGGCCACATTTGAACTCAGGAAGATGAGTTTCCGTAACTTCAGACCTGACATTCTATCCACTTCACCACCTAACTGCTGCAGAACTCATTTTTACAAGTGTGGATATTAAACCCCATATTCTTCCTAAGGAATCTTTCCTACTAAAGGTTACTTCTTGATCCAAGACAATTCCAAGGACTCGTGATGGAAAATGCTGACCACATCTAGAGAAAGAACTGTGGAGTCTGAATGCAGATCAAAGCATACTATTTTCACTTTTCTGTGTGCCTTTTTTTCTCATGGATTTCCCCTTTTGTTCTGATTCTTCTTTCACAACATGACTAATGTGGAAATATGTTTAATATGATTGCACATGTATAACCTATATCAGATTGCTTGCTGTCTTGGGGAAGAGGGAGAGAAGGAAGGGAAGGAGAAAAATTTGAAGCTCAAAATAATTCAAAGATAAATGTTGAAAACTATCTTTACATCTAATTGGGAAAAAAATAAAAAACTAAGTAAAAGTTACCCCTCTTTCTGTCAAGGGCACCATCATCCTTCCTTCACCCAGTATACAACCTAGGAGACATCCTAGACTCAGCCCTCCTTCATCACGCGTATCCAAGTCTAGTTGCTTTCTCCATCACCCCTATTATTCCACCTCCTCAATAATTTCTCACATCTGACCACAGTCCTCCGTCACATCTAGTCTTGCCAGTAATGATAGCCTCCTAATTAATCTCCCTATCTACCCTCTTACACCTCTACAATCCAGCCAGCACACCACTATGAAATCAATATTCCTAAAACACAGCCACAGCTATGTCCCTCCTCCAATCTGGAAGCTGGAGCTCCCCTTTGTCTTCAGGATAAAGTACAAAGGACACCATTTGGCATTTAAAGAGCTTCACACAGGGGCAGCTAAGTGGCGCAGAGGACCAGAGTTCAAATGTGGCCTCAGACACTTGCCATTCACTAGCTGTGTGACCCTGGGCAAGTCACTTAAGCCCAATTGCCTAGCAAAAAATACAAATAAAGAGCTTCATGCTCCAACCTACCTTTCTAGGCTGATGACATTCCAATCCAAAGGGCAACTTCTTGTTCCTTCTTTGTAACATTTCATCTTCTGTTTTTGAACAGCCCTTCTCACCTAGTAGGTGCTTTATCAATGTTTATTGACTGAGATTGCCCCTCATGCCTGGAATGTTCTCTCTCCTCACTTTAGCCTCTGCAAGCCTTCACATTTCAGAGACTGAAGTGCTGTCTCCTGTATCAGTGCCCAATTCATAGTGTCCAACCCCTACCAACCATTTATTTTTTTAAATATATCCTATATTTACTTGTCTGGGAGCAGGTTGTATCCCCTAGTAGGATATAAGTAAGACCAAGGCTGTTCTCACTTTTGTATTTCTATCTCCAGTGCCTGTGAGGGACTGTCTGATGTTGACTACTGCCAAGTGAAGGTTGTGGCAAGATGGGATAGGAACAAGATATTAGGAAGTGACGGGAGCTCACGCTCCCGAG